CGCCAACTGATTGCTTGTTCTTGCGGCCAAATTGAGACAAGGTCTTGAGGTCATCATCGAACGAGCAGACCAATCCATCGTGAGTCATCCTCTTTTTGTGCGGGCGTGCTTGCAAACTTGGAAGAATTGGAGGGTTTCTTGTCTGCAGGAAATTAATGATCAAACAGATCCAGGTGTAAGAACTAAGGGTTCCTCCAAGGGCTGCGTCATTGAGAATTCTTTGCTTCGTCCAGTGCTTGATAGCCATTGCCAAAGGCCGAACTCTTTCATCCACCTCAACATAGGTCCGAATCATTCGAGTGTTTTCTAACGCCAAGGTATTATTGACATTCATGTCGCAGGCTAACCGGAGCTCCGGGTCCCAAATCTTCACGATGGGGACCTTTGCGTGCGACACACACACCACGCGTTGCATCCCATCTGTCCAGGTCAGTCTATCATCCAAGTCAAGGTTTGTCAACAGCGATCTCTTACGTTTAGCTAACACCTCAGCCAACAGGCACACATGCTCCAATTCCTTGTAGTTGGTTGTGATGCAAATGTCCACTGCTCAAGTTAGTATTTGTTTTGCGCTTTTATCTCTCTTTTTGTCCAAAAAAGCTAGGGAAAACCTACCATCCGAGTCACTTGAACAGAGCTTATTCCCTGACGAGCCAAAAATGTTCGCCTTAATATTATGACCAGGCCATTGGTCGTTGAAAAGCTTCTCCAATTTCCGAACAAGTTGTCGTCGACGATCATCACTCTCGGCAGATGGTAACAATCGATCATACAGGTCCATGATCTCGGTCGACAATTTTTTCTCCTCGTCCGGGCTGAGTTGCTCCTTCAATGCACCCTTCTCCTCTGGTAGTATATCTGCGCCTAAGCTATACGGTATCCGTCGTCGAAAATATGCCATGGCGGTCTCATATTTACAGCCTCCGAGCGGTTTCCGGGAGAATGGGGGTAGATGCGTGGCCTCGGAGTGGGTGGATCGAGGGGAGGTGCTTCCGCGGGCGGGGGACGGCGACCGGGAGTGGAACGATAGGTTGCGCGCATGCTGATATGGGGTGGAAGGAAGGGAATTGGACTGGTGCGAAGTCAAGGGAGGCCGAACGGCGGGCTCGGGCACGTCGGATTGTGGCACATCGGATTGCGGCATCCATGCCATCGTGGAGGGCTGCGCCGACGCTAGCGAGGCGACGTCACGGTGAAGGGAACACTTTGCATTCCCATCGATTTTTGCGACCATATAGCAATTCGCAACTCCCACACCGTTGTGGTCCTTCTGTATGGGGTGGGTGCTCGGCAAAAGAGATAAGAGTCCACTCCCACACACCACACAATATAATCCCCTCAGTTTCTGCTCAGTTGGAAATCACCGGAGAAATTTCGTGATCGATAAATTCGAGTGAGGCAGGTTATGGCACGTGTGTAACACGTCGAAGGTTCGTTGATATGGTGAGACAACCGGGAAACAGATCGTTCGTGGTGGGAGACTTTCAATCGCCCTCGACCAAAGTCGCGAAAAGCCGAATTTTTTTTATCTCTCACTCGGGACCGATAAGAATTGAAGAGATGTAAAAAAAAGACAATGCCTCAACCAGGAGATGAAAATAAGACAAAAAGAAAATAGTAAGAAAAAAAAAAAGAGACACGGTCTTCGTGAGAGAGAAGAGAGCGGACTTTCGAGGATTGGATCAAAGAAAATGAGACAAAAAAGGACCAAAGTACAGGATGATACAGTCCGTTTGCCCTTTAAGCAAGTTGTTAGGAACCAGCCTAGGTTTCCGATTGTTTTTGAAGAGGAAGCGTAGCCAGAGAGGGGAATTTGAGAAGTTGTGAAGATGAAGCCCTGGAGGTCAGCCCCTGTCGGCGGTAAAGAGACACTGCCGACCGTCCCCTCTTAAAGAACTCCAATCTTGCCAACGTCAACGATTCTATGTATATACAAGTCGAGTAATCGAATGAATATACCCAGGGTAGGTATTTCCAGGTTTGAAGAATACGTGTTGAGTGAGAAATTAGCCGTTATAACGTTGGACGGAGCAGCCCACGGAGTCAGACTATTGGGGGATAGCTCTCTACCCTCATTTCTTATGCTAACAATTAGGGGCTAAACTTCTATCCTTTGTCTCTAATATGATCTCACGCTTATCTCTTTCTCACTAGTACTCTTTATTCTTTTCTTCCTTTCCCCTTGATCCCCAGAAACCCTGAAACTCGAAGCCAGAAAGCCAAAATGCAGCCAGAGTTGCCCGCCGTATCACCGAGCTATGCATTTCATGCAGGTACCATGACGACAGTTTATCGATAAGACAGTCTTGTTCGTTGGACCACTCTGGACTACTAGCTATTGACTGAACATATCAATTCCTAAGGAAAGGCTTACATGGTCCATATGTTGTACACTCCTTTTCCCTCCTGATCGTCGTTCTTCACTCCTCCCCGCGATCAGCATGGTCCTTGCACGTGCTGCTCACTAGTATAACCTAATCCATGTCAGTGGCCTGAGGCATGAATATGACGATGTGTCTCTTTTCAAACAATCGAGTTGGAATCTAGGATTCTGTTGACTCTGCATCCTGGCTTGAGGATACTTCTTTGTTTGGAGAACATGGACCACCATTGGACCCATACTTCACTCCAGAGTCCGAACAGTGGCTCTTCGAATCCGATGATACTCGAGACGATGAGCCTCGTGAGATAAATATTCATTGGACCATTTGTCTCTGGGCTAACTGATGTATCAGTCGTAAGATGGTAGCCTTTGTTTATTAGGGCTTGGGGTCGCCACATTGGGAACATGAGGCTTGTTTTGGCGTGTTTCTTTGTAAACAAGTAACCAACTTCCAAGGTTGAAGTGTTTACCCCTCTTCACTGACATTGAGCTATCAAGGTAGCTCTGGATTGTAACTTATAACATAGCCTTAACCCCGTACAATCAAGCATCCAGCTAGTATGACTAGGACCAAATACGGCCAAGCACAGTCCCATGTATGACAAGTGGGGACCCAAGGTAACGCGGAGGCATAATTGAGCGTATCGTTTATCGTGCTAGTGGTACATTTCCGGAGGGTTTGAATGGAAGTCAACTTAATAATACCTACATGTAGGTACTGTCCACGGGTACCTTCCCGCTAGATTGACATACATAGACAACAACAGGGCAGAGCTTAGGGAGCTGGTATTCAGGTAGACTACGGAGTAGAAAATACAAAATCCCTCTTCTACTTTATATATCTGAGTACCTCAGTGCCCCCAAAATCCCGTCCCGGAGTCGATTCACCCCGATCACATAGAAATAGTCTCATGTACATGCGGGGGAGGACTCGGGCTGCTGACTGGTCGAGCCGGGTGAGTACATATATTGTACATTAACATTCTCGCTGCCAATCCAGTTCAGAGGGGCGCGGACCTTGCGGAAAAATATAAAAAATGATGGACGTTGCCCCACCTCTCCTGAATTGACCGAGTTGGTCCAAGCACCGTTCAGAGTGTATTCTGGAAGCAATGTTACGATTGCATTGCGTCTACTCCTGTATGTAGATGTAATTTCTAGACTTACTTGTTAGTAAGGCTTTTAGGGGAATTACTTGAACCAGATGTATACAAGGTTCTCTACATTCGAGCAGGCTACAGTGGGCTATATATACTTATTGCATGCATTTGTCCTAACCACTATACATGGAGCTGCAGATCACATTCCTGATGCGACTAGAGTGTTCACTTGCAGCCTCCGATGGCGTCCATAGGCAGCTTCTTGGCAAGCTGACTGCATAGTGCAGAGTCTTTGCAGTTTCCAAGGCATCATCATACGTTGATTCTAGGGAATGCCCTGTTTAAATTGGGTTATATTACGAACAGAATCTCAGAACCTACGTCTTAGAAACTTTGAATCTTTGAAACTTTGAATATTGTACTGAAATAGAGTATTGAAGACTTAGGGCATACAACATAAGGGCAACGCAATGTAAATGTAAATATTCACCGTTTTAAGTGGGGAATTACCAAGTTTCCAAGATTCGAACATTTAGATTGTAGATGTAGAGTAGAATATACATTCAAGTATAGAATGTATACAGTATGTTGTAATGAATAATAAGTAATAGTAACTATCAGACACGAGGGGAGCTCGACGCTTAGACACACGCCCCCGTGTCCCCGTCCAATCTCCGGTGACCGGCCCCAGCAGTGACGAATAGAAGCCGTTGGGTTGCCGGGAATTGCCGCGTACTTGGGATCTTCGATGTACAGAAAAAAAAAAAAGGGAATTGGTATTAAATGAAAGCATTGAATGACAAATAGGTTGGTTTTTAGTAGAAAGAGACTTAGTATGTAGTTACCTAGGTATACTTATAGTCCATATCCAACATAAACAGAAAGGAAGGTTAAGTCTCAGTTTTAATACCTAGGTTAATATGTTGTCCTACTTTAAAAAAACAAAAAAAGTAAAAAAGTAGTGTCTCCTTTTTTCCCCCGTATACTAATACATACTAATATACTACTAATATGTACGGAATACTAACTATTTTACTCTTTTACATTACAATTTATGAAAGCCCCCTCCCCCCCATAAGGTAATACACACCCACATCCCCCCCCATAGGACCCTCTCTCCTTTTCTTCTCTTCTTCATCCTTCCAATCTTTGGACTTCCTCTGCCTCGTTGACTCGTGGTAGAAAGAAATACTCGGAGGCCTATTTCCTGTAAGTGTGATATTGTTTCTGTTTCCAATTGGGGAGAAAAAAAAATTCTATACATATGCCCCAAAATAGTTCGAAAGAGCGCGGAAAAAACACCCTCGAAAAAGGGTTTCCCGAGAGAAAATTATTTTTCTTTTGTGATCTCAAATATCGATACTTTCTTTTGATGTGTTGAAAAGAAGATCTGAAGAACTGGAGGACTGTTCGAAAAGTGTGTTGTGGATCGACGCTCACATTTTTTTTTTCTCGACAGATCGCCTCTGACCGGATCATCTTCCCCCCCTGAACCGTCGCACCTTTTGATCTCGACAATGTCTTCGTACTACGAACCTCAGGGCTGGCAAGCACCCGCTGCGCGCCAGGTCTCTTGGGAAGCAACCGGCGCCTCCCTCCCGGTCAGGTATGGGATCATAATGCCGAGCACCCCGAGCAGAAAACTAACATTTGACAGGATCGAGCTCGGTCTCCCAGCGCGAGGATATCCCGGCCTTTTCCTCCCAATTTGACGGTACGGACACACTTCTGCTTGGATCTCTACAATTGCTTCTCCGAAAACCGAATCGCGTAACGGGGGAAAAGTTCGGTGGTTTTGAAGCGAGACGGTTGTGGAGATGATATGGACATACTTGTTTTTTGTTTTCTTCGGGGGGACCCTTTGGGGGACGAGTGCTGATCTTTTTCCTTTTTTTAGAGGTCGATCGTGCGATCGACAATCTCGTCAAGAGCGGGAAGCTGTGGAATGCCCCTCGGCGGGATTCGATGCCCATGATGATGGGCCGGCCCTACCCCGACTACGGTATGTTGCGGGCACGGATGACACCCAGAACGCGTTTCTGACTTGTCTCTTGACAGACCCTCGCATGGGTGGTGGCCCTCAGCGACACCATTCGATCAGCGAGTTCGATGGCAACCGTATGCCCCCGGCTGGCAATGCCCAGGGTTTCTATGCCTCCCAGCGGTACCAGGGTCGTCCCAACGAGGTGGAACAGATGATGCAGGCGAAGCGTCGGATGGCAGCACAGCGTGAGAGGGAACTCCGCAACTATCACCAGGAGCAACAGTACAACCGAAGTACGTGGTAGCGTCTGTCTTCTTCTTTTTGAGCCTTGTTATATTCCCCTGTCGGCTTTTTTTTCCCTTTTCTCTTTTTCTTGTCACTTCCTTGCATCTATGTATCCGTCGGCCTGTGTAATATATTTGGTTTGGCTTCTTCGTTTTCTTTGAACACGGGGTTTTAATACTTTTCTTCTTCCTTTCAAGGCCTCCTCGCCGAGATGTCTGCATCCAAATCCGACCGCTCCACCAGCCCGGCTGCCGTGAGCGAGGACAGCCGTCGCGAACTCCTCGCCCGCCAGCACCGCGCCCTGTACGGCAACGAAAGCCCAGCCTTCTTCCCGCCCGGTGCCTTCTCCGATGATAACCCACGCCCAGATAGCCAAGCCGGCGGGGTACCCCGTCGTCCGGTGTGCGTGGATCTTCCCCGCGAGGCATGGACCCGTTCGGCTTGACACAGGCTAGCACCACTACCGCCGAAGCCACCACGGGCCTGCAGTCGCCCTCGCGCGCCAACAGCACCTCCTCGCCTAGCTCCGCCATCAATGCCAGCTTCGGCACCGAGCAGCCCGTAACTTCGGCCTCGTCGCCCGGCGCCGACTCGCCCTCATCCCGTCAGGCCAGTTCCAAGCCAGCTGCTGGTCCTATCGGTTCCGTCGGTCCCATCGGTTCCCGGCCTGCCCCTGGCCAGACTTCTGCTCCCCCCCGCCAACCCGGCCTTGAACAAGCGCTCCATCACTCCTCTCCCCTCCCCGCTCGGGCTCGGCTTCACCCCCGCTGACCCTGCTGCTGGCCCTGCGACTGAGCGCACCTCCTCGGCCGGTCCTACCCCGCCTGTGACCTCCGCTGCTGGTACCCCTGGCACGAAGGACCAGGCTGGTGGTGTTGGCCTCGGCTGGAGCAACGGCAGTGGCGTCTGGAGCTCTAAGAGTGGGCTTGGCGTGCAAGCTTCCGTTTGGGGTTAAAACTCCACACTGAATTTCTGATTTTTGATGGCATTACCTTTTCGATGGCATTACTCCAGTGGGCGCTTGTTGCATATTGGACTTGGGGTTGAGCTGGCTTACTATATACCAGGCGGGGGAACAAGACGAAGGTGTTTACTGGGGGGTTGGAAATATTTCCCCCAAATTTTGAATCTTTCTGGGTGATATGATGCCTTCTTCGCATTCCCCTGTTAGGTCTTGGGTTCAGCATGTTGTTTTCTGCTTTTGTTGGGTCGTTTTTGCTATTCCGGTGCCCGTGCGAATATGGTCGGAAATATGGCGCTTTATCTGTGATGCTCGTGGGCTATGTATGGGCTGTCTCATTTTTCTCGGTGTTCTTCATGTCGGATGCACAGGTCTCTTTTATTTTTTCATCTTTGGGGGTGGTACGGGAAACTTGCACATTGTGATCTTTTATTTAATTTTGGATGCCTGTTTTTACTATATATCTCCATATGGAGATGGGGAGGCGAACAGAGGCTCAAAACGGATGTTTCTTGGATTTGGAGATTCTTTAATTGTTTGTTCTTTTTGTTTTTTCTTCTATCCCAGGTGAGGGTTGACTTATAGCTTGGTTGATGTAAGGGTTTGGAGTCTGTTTACTTCTATTCCAACGGATCTGGGTTTCGTTTGGATCTGATTTCTAGCCTTTGCTATGGGTTTTATAGGGAAGAGAATATTATGTCCTTGTGTACCTATCCATTTCTCATTGCTCGGTGCCTGGTCATATAAAGGTACATATGTACGCTCTATAACGTGTCTGGCCCTTCTAGTTTGGGCTATCAGTCCTAGTACCAGGAGTTTCAATGTTGCTTCTGGACTACGCTGAAGATGTACTTAGATGCTCAGAACAGGCGATAAACTGTGTATTTTATTCTCAAAACAAAGATTGGTATTGATCTCTGAAATAGCAATTATCTGAACATAATTAAGCATTAGTTGAGAGCACGCGAACGGACTTGACGGGCATCTATCACAGCACACAAAATAAAATCTGAAAGATCTTCTTATATGTGCGGTCCCATCCGTAGTCATAACCCCCCAAAGATTTACAACAAGAAAGCAACAGGCGGTTAACAATCAGACAGCGCTATTGTTCACCGTGGTAGTGTGCCCGGGGGTATGCTCAGGGTTCTGATCATATTCCGCAGCAGCAGGGATAGTATGCACGATCTTCCTCTTTGCAGTGAAAAGACCAACAACACCACGTTCCTGGTTAGTCCCCAGCCAGGGCTTGCGGGCTTCGCTCAAGACCTTCTGAGCGAGGAAGTAGATGAGCTGACCGACAATAATCAGAACAAAGGCAATCGGGTACATCCAATGGATAGAATAGTGGAAGACCTTGACGCCAATGATCACACCCCAGAAGTTCATGGTGAGCATGGAGACGTTGAAGAAAGCCGCCGACGAAAGACGGAACAACAGCGGTGCGAGACAGTAGAACAAGCTCAAACACAGGGTGTAGCCGGTGAGATATCCGCCGACCTTCCCGTTCCAGTGCGCATTGTCGAAGGAGGTCCGGTCGAATATACCGGCCTGCACACCGTTGATGATCATTGCGAAGAATGACATCTGACCCAGCACCTCGTACACGGGTCGAGTACTGACGAAGTACTCTTCTCCCGTGTTGGTGAGACCATAGAAGCTTGCGCCTGGCAGCGCGAACAGGTCGCCCTTCAGTTGGTTGCCTTGGGATACGTCTCCGCCGTTGGTGCCGGTGATGTGGTCCGAGGCAATGAGGATGCCCATGCCGCCGATGCAGATTATGATACCTGCAATTTGGGTGATGTGGTAGCGTACGCGCAGGAACAGGAATGAGATGATGACGACCACGACGATGGCCCAGAAGTTGATCAGTTGCGCGCTTAGCATGGTTGTGTATTGGTATGCTAAAACAATGAAGTAGTTGCCTTCCACGTCACAGAAAGCAAGGATGATGTCTGCAGTGGTTAGTCGGGGTTGTATATCGAATATGTGGGGAGATTGGAGACATACATTTCCAGCCGTCACGCCATACCAGTCGGAGCCAGCCCTTGAAGCCGTAACGGTACATCGTATAAGGAGTGAAAATGGCGTTGAGTAGCACATAGTTTAGGAAGGTTTGGAACGCAGGGATTGCCCATTGTTCCTGGCCGAGTAGCGTTGTGAATGTACCCGTCGAGGTATTGGCAATAGCGAGGATTTGACTGCGAGAAATTGAGTTAGGATTTGAGTGACTGGTAGTTTCTGAAGTGATACTCACCCTAGAACCAAGGTGATATAGAATTCCTTAGTCTTGAAGTAGCCAAAGAACCCCTTCTTCTGATCGACTAGGTCCGCAGGTTGCACAGGGCTCTCGGAGGCTTCCGCCTGGGAACTCGAACTCTGTGCGCCCAACTGGGCATCTTTGGCTAGTGAATGGGTAGAAGTATCATGGTCTACACCAGATGCCTGGACGGTGACTTGGTCCTTCGACTCAGACATGGCTAATTGATGCGCGCTCAGAAAGCGGGGTTGCGTTTGAATGATGCAGATGGCAAAACCAGTTGCAGTCGAAGTATTAGAGCAATATAAAGGGAGCTTTATGAGATTGGAAAACGAGCGCAAAACTCCCGAAGTCGCTCGTGTATCAATGTACCGTTTGGCGATGAATCGGACGAAGAAGCAGAAATCTCAAAGTAACCCGAGGCCTAAGAAAAAAAAGCGTCTGGAACCTTTCCTAATCGGGCCAATCTTCGATAAGATCCTTCCACACTGTTAAACACAGCCAATCAACGGGAGGATAGTGGGGGCGGTGAGGGTCTGTGCTGCGGACATTGCCGTCCATTTGGTCTTTTATGTCAGCAGCTTTAAGCAAGGCGGCCGGGTACTTGGCCGATACTTGAATAGCGAGGCTAGTTGTCGGCTTGAGGGGAAGTACTTTCCGCGTACCACCCACCTCCCATGGCTTGTGGAGATCCCTGCGTTGAGTTGACCTTGCAGAGAATATTTATAGATTTATAGATTGATAGATGAATCTTAAATTATATTGGATTTTATATTTTACACAAGCCAGACTCAGCTGTTATAAATACATGTACTTTATGACCATCCTCCATGGATGTACGGAGTACATAATGTATTGACTGACGCCATTCCGAAACCCCTGAGAAAGAACATTGTAGAATGGATTCCAGATCCAGCTTCTGCCGATCACGGAAGAACAGCAGAAGGACGAAGATAAAGTACGGCTAGATTTTATCATAAGCTGCATTCCTAGTGGTATAGCATATTTTCTGCCTGTGCTTAATGTACATACATAGGGAGTCCAGGTACCTATATAGTCTGAGGTGGTTTATAGGTACTTTAGATACCTTAGGTAGAGATGATAGAGATGAAGTAGGGATAAACAGGGATCATATGGAATTCTGGAAGGATTGAAAGTTTCCACTTTCACTTCATATCTCTCAAAGAAGCTTCTTCTTAGTCTTCCGAGGTCCTTTAAGGGGAAAAAATCCAAAAAAAAACCCAAGTACCTGCCGAGGCCGTCAGGTGGACCTTCAGGACTGTTCCCGATCGTCATCCCCTCCGCAGACTCTTTCATCATTGGGATCTCCACCTCCATTCCCTCTTTGCGTCCCTTTCAAACCCTTTTCAAGCAAACTACACAATCCTCCGATAACCTTCTTTTAATTTCATTCTTTTCCCCCCACACCGCCCTTTGGCTCTCCTCTCGCGCCGGTGCACTTTTATCAGGCCCGGAGTGACGAGACGCCTTTCCCTGTTCCTGCCGGACCATGGCGCTGGAAGTACAGCCGCCCGACGGTCGCAAACGAGTGAAGGTTTATGAACTAAAAGATAATGATTGGTTTGACCGAGGAACCGGCTTCTGCACGGGTCAGATCTTGGGAGTGAGTTGTCGCGTGTTGTGCGCGCACTGAGGCTCTTGCGACGATGTTTCATCGCGCGCAATCCCGAGCGCATCACCATCATCATCAGTAACTGATCGCTTTGAACTAGGAGGAGCCTCGCATATTCGTCGAATCTGAAGACCTACCCAATCGCGTCCTACTCGAAACGCGGATCACCAAGGACGATGGCTATCAAAAACAACAGGGTACCTATCCCGTCATCATCATCTCATCGCTGTTCCGTGTCTTTTTTTGACTAACTGTATCATGCGATTCAGAGACTTTGATTGTCTGGACCGAGCAGAATGGCACGGATATGGCACTGAGTTTCCAAGAGGCGGAAGGTTGTGCGGTCATTTGGTAAGGAATCGACGAAAAATCTTTGCGCGCATGAACTAACCTCATCAAAGGGACTTTGTCAATGCTGTCCAACAACATCTCTTGAGTCTCACTTCAGCTGGTAAGGTTTGTCGCGTGTTTGAAAGCTGGCAGCTCTAATTGTTCTCCAAGATGACGCCTTGTCCGACGACCTCGATAGCTACCAGTCCATCGTATTACCCGGCCCCGAACTCGGAAACCTCCCCGAAATCGAACAGATTGTACGAGCAGCGAGCATGACACAGAACGGTCGAGATGCGCTATCCAAGTACATCATTCGCGACGAGTACATCTCCAAATTGGTACCGCTAGTGACAATGGCTGAGGATTTGGAGAGCTTGATCGATTTGCATCGTTTGTGCAACATCATGAAATCTCTAATTTTGCTCAATGACAACACCATCATCGAAACCGTCGTCGCCGATCATATCATCCTCGGAGTGGTTGGGGCTCTGGAATGTATGCTCTACCCAGATTCATCCTGATCCAAGTCCGATGCAATTGGATACTAACGAAAGTAGATGACCCTGAATTCCCCACACACAAGGCAAACCATCGACAATACCTCGCGGATAAATCGAGATATAAGGAAGTTGTCCCGATCAAGGACCCGCTCATTCGCCGCAAGATTCGGAGTACATGGAGGCTGCAGTATCTAAAAGATGTGGTACTAGCTCGGATCTTGGACGACCCGACATTTTCGGTGCTCAATTCTCTCATATTCTTCAATCAAATGGAGATAGTGAATCATATCCAAGCAAATGGGCCCTTCCTGCGTGATCTATTTCACGTTTTCGACCCGAGAAATCCGGACCAGAGACGCAAGGATGATGCCGTGCAGTTCCTTCACCAGTGTGCTGGCATCGCGAAGAACTTGCAGGCGCCGTCGCGGGCCCAATTATTCGCCAACTTTATTAGCCATGGGTTGTTCGCCGTTATAGCGTTTGCCGTCAAGCACTTGAATCCAGCTATGCGCACGACTGGCATTGATATCTTGTCGGCTCTGTTGGATCACGATCCAGTCATGATGAGAGGTTATATGCTTAAGGCTGTCAATGAGAAAAAGACACCACTCACAGACACCTTGATCGACCTTCTTCATGTGGAGACTGACCTTGGCGTCAAAAACCAACTTGCTGATGCTATCAAGGTTCTCCTTGATCCTCAGATCCCTATGCAGGACCCGCTTGGTCGGGCTGGACCCGATTACTTCAAAGTTCGCAACAACAACCTTCTCTCTGATGCATTTGTCCAGCAACATTTTGATGAGTCCTCAAAACGGCTTTTCCAACCGCTTAAACAGCTTGCAAATCGCACAGCCCGTAAGTGGTGAGATCCTTGGTTTTGGTCAAGACTTTGCTAACCTCGAGTCTAGTTAATGATTTGACATTCCAAGAGGTCACCCTCTACTCGCATCTTGTTGATATCCTCACCTTCTTCGTCCGCCAGCATCTCTTCCGCACACGTAACTCTATCCAGAGTGAATCACTCGCGCCTCGTGTGGCACAACTTCTGCGGGCACCGCAGAAACACCTCAAACTCGGTGAGTGTACAGCCTTTTTTTTTTTTGACGCAGAATCCATAGCTAATACCGACAAGTCGCCCTCAAATTCTTCCGCACCTTGATCAGCCTCCAAGATACCTTCTACCAAGCTCTCATGACACACAATAACACGTTTGAGTTGATTCTCGACATCGTCTACGAGACAATGCCTCGCGACAACCTGCTCAACTCGGCCTGTCTTGAACTTTTTGAGTTTATCAGGCGGGAAAATATCAAGCCTTTTATTCTCCATGTGGTCGAAAAATATCGCGAGAAACTCGAGAACATCATTTATGTTGATACCTTCCAGAGCCTGATTCTTCGATATGACCAGATGCAGGGGTACGGAGCCGAGGCGGACGCGACTCTGTTCAGTCAGGATGAAAGCACCGCTCCGCGGAGAATTCCCCTCAATGGCCAGCGCTGGCAGGGTGCTAGAGAAATGGACCCCGCGGAAGAGGATTATTTCAACACATCCGACGACGAAGATGAGGTAGGTACCTTTTGGATTGAGATAGTTTAAGCAAACGACTGACCATTTAAGATAAAGTGGACACAGGACCGTGTGGCCACTGCGGATGAACCTTCAAGCGGATCCGCCTCTGCGGTCGTCAAACCATTGGTTGACTACCCAGATGACGACGATGAGGACATCATGGACACCAAACCCGAAGGTGCAGAACAACAGCCAGTTGCCAGTCCAACCGAGACTTTCACTGAGGTCCCTGCATCATCACCCACCCAAACGCCCCCTGCACCGCCGGAGCGACTTGCGGAGAAGCGTCGCCGTGAGGAAGAAGACGATGATGAGCTCAGCAAGCTTACTGCGGGACCTAAACGAAGAAGTTCAACTAGTGGCAATTCTGGCGCCTTTAACATGAATCGGAAAAAGAACCTGTCTGCTAGCTCACTGGCAGATAAGAATGCCTCACCAGGTGTCCTAAACAAGGTCACCAGCGCCGCGCCCAAGAGAATCGCTATCAATATTGGATCAACGGCAAAACCTGTCGTGTCAGAAACTGACACCCCCCGCGCAGAGGTGACGAGCGAGAGTTACGAGAAGGAGAATCGCGACGACAGTCAGGGTAACGAGGGTGGATGAATATACCTCATAAGCCAGGCGTTTTTCTTGATTTAATTTTCCTTTCCCATGGCCTTGATACCAGACTCGGTTGTGGGATTTCCCATATTTCATCTCCTGCTGTTCTTTGGGCGATGCCCTTTCTTCTTGTTCCGTTTCTTTTCTTCAGGGTGCTACCCATCTGCTTCCCTCCTGGTTTTACGAGGTTTTGTCTTCTCTGGCCTGAACTAGCGTCTAGTAGAACGTTGATGTACATGGCATGGCGTCTGGGCAATGCATTGGATCTAGCCTTGCGATGTCTATTCTTTTTATTTTTCTGGTCGGACTCGGAAACCGACCATTGGAAGAGCCCTGCATCCGCGGATGGAGTCGTTGCAATATATCCTGCTATCTTCGTGGTGTTCTTTACCTGTTGGAATTGTCTGTAGTGCCGTAGGCACGTTCACAGTATCTGCTCTGCCAGCTATCAAAATACCTATACAGCCCACCAATCTCTCTCTGTGTGTTTCTTTCTTTTTCTGACTTTTTCTATATATATTTCGTATTTTTTGGGTGGTCGATCGGCTAGCATGGATGGCTCTCGATGTAGAGTGCTTGGATCCACCAGCGAAATCCGACTTCACCTCCCTATCAATCCAACGCGCTTCGTTCAACCACCCCAGGGCAATAATATACGCGAAAAGTACACATGACAAAGGGGTGCATTTCCTGTAATCATATCCCTTCGATTATTTTATATGCGCCTGGACAGCACTAACCAAGCCCAGGCCACCCAACAAACCTGTAGCCATCTATACCCTGGATGGAAACTACATGGGAGACCTACAGCAGATCCAATGATACAAGCCAAACAAAAAATGACACCTGAAATTACTGCAAACACCTTTCTCACTGCCACAGGTTCTCCATCAGACCAAAAGACGACAATCTTCTTCATCTCCGGCAATCCGGGTCTGATCGGCTACTACCACCCATTCCTCTCTTTACTCTCAAAGTATCTAGATGAGGAAAAAGAGGAAAATCTACCAAGCCGACCATCATTTCAAATCTACGGCTGCTCTCTGGGTGGCTTTGAAATCGACGAACACAAGCCCTCGCCGTCAAACAATGGCATCGATCTCGACCTGGAAGATCAGATCTGCTTTGTCCAGGGCAAGCTCGCTACCCTGATGGGGACGAAGGCAACGTGAACGGCAGCGGTAATGCTAAAGGTACTGTTGATGCCGGAATCAGACAAAAAGTCATCCTGATCGGCCACTCCGTCGGCGCATATATCGCAATGGAAATCCTAAGACGACACCGTGAATCAAATCCAGGAAGCGCCTTCGATATCATCGGCGGAGCGATGCTCTTCCCAACAGTCAAGGATATCGCCGCGTCGCCTTCAGGGCAGAAATTGACGGTACATACCATATTCCTCTTGCCAGATGCTTATGTTTTCCTTCAGTTTCGTAGCTAATCTCAGCTCTACTGCGTAGACTCTACTTTCGATTATTCCCCGTCTGGCTGTGGTGGTTAGTTTCTTCGCTCGACTACTTACATTTCTGCTCCCGGCATCACTTCTTCGATCTGTCATCCGGCTTGTTATGAATGACCCGCCCGTTCATGCTTTGGACACTACGTGTGCTTTTTTGAAGAGTCGGGGTGGGGTACGGCAAGCTTTGTATGTGATATTCCTTTTTTGGCTGGTGGTTTGGGTTTATCTAATTAACTTCTTCTCCTGGCTAGACATATGGCTGCTGATGAAATGCGGACTATCACTTCGGACAAATGGAGTGATGATGTCTGGGGTGCTGCGTCGGCGCGTGAGCCTATCGCTAAGCTGTTCTTCTATTTTGGTCGTAATGATCACTGGGTGGCTGATCAGACGAGGGATGATATTGTTGCGGTGCGCGGGCAGAAGGGAGGACAGGCTGGGCCGACTATGGTTGTTTGTGAAGAAGGCTTGCCACATGCATTTTGTTTGAGTAAGTGGCTTTTTATTGACTTTGACTACGATACGTAGGCTTGCTGACATTTTGTAGAACACAGTGATGTGATGGCGCGAAAAGTTGCGGGGATGATTAGGCAGATTGTGGCCTGAGGGAGAGGCTACGGATTTTACAATGCATCGAAATAGATAGGAGCTATATGAAGACAATGAATTTCGCCATTGGCGCAGATTGTAACGGGTATCTCAAGAGACGCTACGCCACGCCCATTCCCATCCGAATTTAAGACAGAGCCCAAAGCTATTCAAATATGCCGGAATAAATCAGAAAGCTAGACGCCATGTACAAATGCTTGAGGGGCCCGAAGGAAACATTCAGCACTCCTCTAGTGCCCTTGCACATTGCTCTGTTGAGCTAGTCCTGCCCTCCGGAATAAATCTCCTAACACATCGGATTGCGGCTGGGGCGGGGGAGTAGGAGCCGGCATCTGATGAGGCACCATATGTTGATAGTTAGGCTGCTGTGGGTATGGTTGCGGCTGCTGCTCGGGGCCCAGATGGTGTGCTCGCACACTCCAAGCGTCGTCCTGGGCGCGCTGCTGACCAAACAGATCCTTCAGCGAAATCTGACGTCCCATAGGCACGCTAGCCTGTATTTCCTCCATCGGGGCAGTCTGTGAGGAAGCCGCCACTGCCGCGACGTGCAGGCTGTTCTGGCGCATAGCTTCGAGGCGTCCGCGAGCTAGCTTCATGCTCTCCCCCCGCATGGGTGGCGCACTCACGAATCATCTGGGCGTTTATGGTGCGACTCTCTGCGGTGGAGTTTGGCGGCGGCTCCGAGTAGATCCAGAGACCGTAGATGCGCACGTTGTTCGTGCCGGTCTGGTTGTTGGGTACATTCTGCGGGTGCAAGGGATCGGCGATGCCATTCTGTCCGGCTTCACCTTCACTTTCCTCGGCTTTGAGAATCACATACTCCTCTGTAATTTCGACATTCTCGCCATCGGTGAGGGGAAGATCGAAATTGTTCAACCCGCGGCGGTTCAGCACGAAGGCAGTGTAGCGCTCTTGGCCTAGATCACCTTGTGTTTCCTGGCAGACAAATAAGGTTCCTTCAACTCCGTTCTTTTCCCATTGTTTTGTGGTGGGGCTGAAGATGTAGACCACTGCGTAGGGGGCAAGTGAGAGGATGGAGGTCACTGAGGGCTTGTGGCGGCGGATAACAGAGAGATTGAGCTCCTCGTTCGAGCGGAGCGGGGGTGCAGGCTGTTGCTGCATGTCGGAGTAGTATGGGGCGTCGGATTCATAATCGGTGAGATTGACAGGATTGTGATTGTTCTGCTTCCGAGGTTTGCGTGAAGTCATGATTTCTGTGGGAACGCTTGGAAGGTGTGGAAGGATGGAAGGAGCTGATATCGTCATTGCAGCTCCGCCTTCGCGCTTATCCGGCCACTCTCTACTTTCTACTTTCCGACTCTCGAAGCTCTTCGTTTCGAACCTCATGTAGGGTATTTTGGGCACTGGCATATATTTGATTCCTTCACAATTGGTTTCAACATATTCCTATTCCCTATATCCTACGTGATGACGATACGACCCTTCTAAACTTTGGTGGGATGACCTCTGTGATGAAATGACTGAGCCATTGTCGCATTATACAAGTGATTCTCTCAATTCTTTCTATTTATCCTATCATAACCATTATCCTCTTGTTCTTCTATTGCGACAACCCTCAAAGCCTATTTTCCGCTGCCGGAATTAAGAACCGCGCAAGCGCACATACATACACCACCGCTACAAGCTGCTCCCCTACCGAACCGCAAACCATAGCCAAGCGAGGCGAATTAGATTTCTTACCTTCTGACTCCATCGTATACTCGTACACCATGAGCACTAAATCGCAATCGCCGTCCGCATCAGACCACAAGGGCCACGAGTCCGAATACGCGGAAGAGGTTAAGAACCCAGGACTCGACGTTTCGTCTCTTTCGCGTGCTGTCAGAGCAAGAAAAGATGAGTACACACGCCGGCGATCTATCCGAGTCAAGGTCGGGACGTGGAATGTAGCCGGCATCTCCGGCACCGAGAAAGACGTTGGCAAATGGTTTGTTCAAGGAGACGGGGTGTGCCCGAAGTTCTCTGGGACAAACTACGCACACGCACGAAAGCCAGAACCTAAATCGCCCAGCAAGCAGGATCAGCAGAAATCAGACGGCGACAAAAAAGGAACCTTCCACCACAGCCCCGAGGAGATAGACCTGTACGTTTTGGGTTTGCAAGAAGTGGTCGATATCTCTTCTCCAACAGAAGCGCTCCGGCCATATGTTGACTTGGCACCGTCCAAGCGGTGGAAGGAAGCAGTCCAAAAGGCACTACCTGGAGGATACCAGCTGGTCTCTGAAGTCCAGCTGGTAGGCTTGTTGCTTTTGATATATGCGTCGCCTGCTATTGGAGATAGTATTTCTTCTGTCTGTAGTACATCTGTCGGTACCGGACTGATGGGTTACATGGGAAACAAGGGTGCCGTGACAACGCGCCTTGTCCTGGGCGAAACGACCCGGTTGGTCTTTATCAATTGTCATCTCGCTGCAGGGTCCGACAAAGGCAGCTTGGAGCGACGCAACTGGGACTCTTCTCAGATTGTCCAGCGTGCTAAATTTGACGCGGTTTGGTCCGACGTTGACGGATCGGGTGAATCGGGCGAATCAATAGGAGATGAAGATTTCACTTTCTGGTTTGGTGACCTCAACTACCGCCTCGATGATATCCCTAGTGACGATGTGCGTCAAGTCCTCGCTCGGCATACTGCTAATGAGTACGACAAAGAGCGCCAAGCAAAGCAGTCGTTAAGCCATTCTGAGGACTCTACGACCGATTCCAATGATGAGAATGAGTCGCCTTCTTCTCCCCCAGAAGAAAAGGAGACGACGCCAGGCACCGACCCTGTCACTGATGATGAGATTGATCCTCATAATGACCCTGCATCTCTTCAGACTACAATCTCCTCACTTCTCCCGCACGATCAACTCGGGGTGCAACAGAGAAAAGGAGCAGCTTTCCATAAGGGTTGGCGGGAAGGTGACATCACTTTTTTGCCGACGTACAAATACGATGTGGGAAGTGTGGCCATGTTTGATTCGAGCGAGAAGCAACGGGGGCCTAGCTGGTGTGATCGGATTCTGTTCCGCAGTCTTCAGGATAAGCTGAGACATGAGAAGCTCGACAAGGAAGCGGAGGAGGCCCGAAAGAGGGATGAGGAGATGAAGGCAAGCGGACTGGACAAGGCTGTTGCCGATGATAATGTCTTGTTTGAATATGACCCTGATGCAGACGGTGCAAACAGCGAGGAGTACATATCAGACGAGGAGCAAGCCGCTGATGAGGATGCTACCACAGTCGCATCACTCGACTCTTCTCGTGATCCAATCCGCTTGGACCACTATGTGTCGCACCAAGGCATTCTTTCGTCGGACCACAAGCCCCTAGATGCTGTCTTTACCTTGAGTTTCGATGCGGTCAATCGCGAACTCAAAACAAAGGTTCATCAAGAAGTGGCGCGTGAATTGGACAAGGCCGAGAATGAATCTCGGCCGGATCTTACTATTGTGGTGGATAAATATGGTGACCAAAAGCACACAGATAAAGATCCGGACACTGTCGATTTCGGCGATATTGCCTTTGACGTGCCAGCTCATCGGTCCCTAACCGTTGCCAACACTAGTGGCACCGCAGCCACCTTTTCATTTGCGGAGCGGCATGAAGGTGACGACGAGAGCACTACACAAACACCTTCGTGGCTTGTTCTGCACGTCTCCAAGTCTGCAGACACCGCCCATGACACCGGCCAAGCGATGACTTCTTCGTCTGGGAACCACACTTTGCTCCCTGGCGAAGTAGCAAATATAGATGTCACGGCTTACGTTCGCAGCATTAGGCACGTCCGCTTGCTTAATATTGGAAAGCTGAAACTAGAAGACATCCTAGTTCTTCATGTTGATGGCGGCCGCGACCACTTTATCCCTGTTCATGGCCGTTGGCTACCCACCTGCTTTGGTTGCAGTGTCGACGAGTTGACACGCATGCCAGAAGCGGGTGCTCGAAGTTTGGCCGAATCAGACACCCCTCATCCATCCCGCACAGATAGTTCCACTGAAATCCGTCTGTCGGCACCCCGCGAGCTTTTCCGACTGACTGAGGCGATCTCCGAGTTGACAGAGCGCGCCGTCGCGGAGTGGAGCATGACAAATGGTGAATCCGAGGAACATAAAGCCCCATGGGCAACGGATATTTCCGGTGGAGCATGGCCCTTCCAGCCTGATACATGGACTCTAAAGGACCCACAGGAGCGTGCTGCGCTGCAAACTTCTGTGCGTGAAGCCCTTGACACCAACAAGTCCCTCACTTCAATATTTGCCCCCGAGACATCATTTCTTCATCGCTTGGAGGTCCTATCTGAAGCTCTCCTCACTTTCCTCAACGCGCTCCAAGACGGCATTGTCACGGCGAAAGTATGGCAAGACATGGAGCAGCAGATAATCGCACGCGAGAAGAGCAAATCCCCTCCTCGAAACTGGGAAGAAACCCAGGCCTGGGTGCTTGAGCACCTAGCCTACTCACCAGCGCACAGCGTATCATTCACATTTGTCACTTTTATGCTCGCCCGCATCGCCAATGAAGTGGCCCCAGTATCATCCAATACACCGTTGGTCCCAATATCCAAGCAAGGAAAGCCCGTTGTCCCCAACGAGCCGAGAGATGAACAGGCTGGAACTGTAAGCCAGGATCGAGCTCAATCTCCTACTCCAGCTTCCGCTACTGCCTTCATAACCAGTGGCAGTTTCCGCCGCAAGAACCGCTCCTCGAGCACATCCGCTGGCACTAGCCCTGACTCTACCGGTCAGAATCAGTCGATAGCACGTCGACAAGCAGTCGAGACTGCTCTAGCATCTGCCTTTGCACTCGTGCTTATTTCTGCTTCTGCTCCACTGCCGCCTAAAGAGAAAGAGCGTCGTATATCTGAAGAGCGGAGGCGATCAATCATTGAACCGTTCTTGAAGATGGTTGCGGTGGATGATCGAGGTCCATCTGGAGGTCGGTCTTGATTTTTCTGATACAGTCGAGAGGTTTGCCCTATCTCGTGGTCCGGCCTGGGTTATTCTCAAATTTATCAGAAGCCCGGCCAAGGTTTGACTCCTATAGACTTGATTTTTGCAGTTGTTCGATTGCATCACGTTGTCTCGATGTGTATAATGCTGTACAAGTGCCATATTTTCACGTTTTCCTTGCCTATGAGGATTAATGATACAGGCTAAACAACCTCGTATTTGAACTAAACTCAGTATTCCCATCCTAAAACATGATAGATCACGTTACGGAAGTACTTAAGTCCATACATACGCCAATATACTCGTGGACCGATCCTGCGGCCATTACCAACGCCCATTTCAAACAGCTTATAGCCCACTAAAGGTTTTCAGCCGGCAATAAAGTCGGAAAAAATGTCCATATAGATCCTCATCCCGTACCATCCCCATCCCTGACCCCAGACCGCCGCTGCGTGACCAGTCCACCACCCTGCCGATACCCACCCGACGACCCAGCCCCCGCAGCTCCAGCTCCAGCCCCAGCGCCAGCGCCAGCGCCAGCGCCAGCACCAGCCTTCCCCTTTAACCCAGACCTAGACTTTGACCTCTGCGGCGGCGCAACCTTCCGCCCCATCAGCATACGCCTCGCAGAATCCCAACAACCCGAGACCGCACGCCCAGGCAAACTAACAAGCGACAGCGCGATCTGAGCAGGGACAACTATGCACGCGCAAGCCCAGCCCAGCAGAACGAGCGCATAATTCGGACGCCGGGCCTCAGCCGACCGCTTCGCAGCAGCAGCGAGCGCAATCGCGTCACCGGCCTGTGTCTCAAGACGCGCGAAACGCTGATCAGTCTGCAGAGAGAAGAGGGCGGATCGTTTCTCGTAGCGCCGGACTGCGCGGTTCAGGGCTTCGATATCGGGCTGGATAGCTTTGCGGGTTTCGAGGGCTGCGCTGGCGACTAGGGTTGGGGATGTCTGTTCTTGTTCTTTTGGGGAGAGGGGAAAAGAGTCTTTATCTGTTTGGGTGGCGAGACGGGCGGTTGCTGTTTCTGCGACGTGGGTTTCGAGTTCTTCGAGGCGTTTTGTTAGGTCTTGTAGGGTTGTTGGGGGTATTGGATCTGTTGAGGATGATACGATGCGTTGGAGGTGGAGAGTGCGTTTTTGGATTAGTCTTAGGATGTGAGCGATTGGGCGGACTTCGGAGGCTAGGAGGAAGATTGTTAGGTTGTAGTTTGATACTAGGCCCTCTGAGGGTCGGGAGAGGCTGGAGCGGATGCCGTGGAGGAGACAGGTGCCGATTATGGGGAATATGAAGCAGGCGGCTAGAGCGGTGAGTTCGTGGATTTGGAGCTCGGAGATGGCGGTTGCTGCTTCTTTGTTTTGGGGTTCTTGGTCGTCGGGGTCGAATTGGGGATTGTCGGGCGCTGGGAATCCATGCTCTTCTCGTCGGATGGCCTGAGCTGAGCGGTACCAGTCCCTTTGCGCAGTTAGTATTTGTACTTCTTGTTTTGGGAGATCATTGGGGGTTATCGGGGGATATAGGCGGACATACCAAGGCAACCGGACAGACCAGTTGAGGAATATAGCGGCCAAGACTAGTAATGTGACGTCGGTGACGAAGGAACTACCTTCGTGGAAGAAAATGCCGGCAATTGCAGGCAACAGAGCCAGCCCGAGCGGTGCAGAATGCCAATTCGATTCTTCAGTTGAGAGTGTGGCATGGTCTTTCGCTACGCGAGGTAGAAACAAGTCGTCGGTCGATGAGCGGATCGAGTTGCGGGCCTCTGAGATCGAGTCGGAGAGAGTGGAGTTCCGTCGCTGACTGTCGAAGGTATAGGCACGACGTGGTTTCAAGGAAGGTGAATCATCCATGGTGATGGTTGGGAAAGGAATGTGTTGTCTGTCTCTACCTATTACTACTCCGTGCAGAGTATGGGGTAACCTTGGAACCTTGCCGAGGATGATGCAATAAGAACCGGTTCCATGGTTCGCAGATCCCAAACTGGTAATTGTCCACTCTACCTATATATTACCTAGGTAACATGTATACACTTCACGATATTCTATATTTCACCTCGAATAACAATATCACATATTTTGTATTTTTCTCTCCTCCACAGTGTCAACAATCCTAAGAAGCTTTGGTCCGTAATATAAAGAACTCGAGAGAGTGGGGCCAGTGAGGATTAGACTGTAGCCTTGAGTTTCAGTCTCTGAGGGCCCCGTCCCAAATCTACATTAAGCTTACTGCCTAGAAAGTCGAGCACAGGTCGGACTGGCTCCCCCTAGCTCGAGCAGCAAATGAAGAGTGTTGCATACACCGTACTTGCGCGGATACTGTATGTGAGAGCCATGTCATATTCGCAGTCAACTCATAATCCGAACCACTCTACTCAGGTTCGGATCTTCCCTGCTGTCGATCCTTCCAATTCAAATGCCTGTCGAAGGACCTCAAGGTGGTCCACAGTCAGTATTATGAGATCGGTCTCTTCACAGCTAGTCCTTGTTCCACCTGGATACAAATGTCGGGCATGATGGACTTGAATAGGCGGACGAAACAGCGCGTAAGGATCTACCCCGTGCTGGAATAAAGTTACCATGATCTGTACCGCCTGCAACTCTTCAAAACTTTTGCGTTGCCATCTTATGCAGCTCGACGAAGAGCGGGTCGGTGTGGTCAAAGAAAATACTGGAAGACGTGTACTTTTCTCGACGCTAGCCCAATCTTCTGTCGCTCCAGAAAGGACAGAGGTTAATTCATCGGACCCTACATTTAGATCGACGCCCGAGGCTAATAGGGACTCGACCCGGTCCACAGAGCTGTGTGTGGCAGCATCACATACCTTGAGGGCAGTGACGTTATCCACCTGAGGCATGTTGAAATACAAATTGTCCTTCTAATAAGTCTCATGGGAAGAATTCTTGAGAAAGTCAGGTGAGGGAGGGAGGCATATAGTGTGTGATCTGCTTGTATGTTCTCTGCTATAGAAGGCAATAATGGTGGATGTTCTGTTTGTATACATTTGCCTTCTAGAAATTTAACAGTAAACTAAGTAGGTACAGTGTTTGTAGTGTGCGGGAAATAATAGGAAATAAAAAATTTCACTGGAATGTTGTTATTCTTATTGTCGAGGGATATCATCTCTGAACTTATTAACTGCATCAACACTCTCTCTCTCACACACACACCTCCGGGAACTAGTCAATCTGACCGATCTGATCCTCAATAGACTAGAAAGTCTAGATCAATAATAAAATCATTCCACCGACGAAAATATCAGGCGGATGCAAATGAATAAGGTCCCCGCCTCCTCGGGTCTATTGACACCCAAATGCGGACTGGTTTGCCTCACACGATTCGCTCAACCTACACACCACACTCTATGTGCTTCGTATTTCTTTATTCAGCCTCTTTCATCTTCCTTATTTTCTTTATTGCAAGTTGTTGAGTTTAATTCAATGCTAATCCAATGGATAGGTTTCTCTGTCTGTCGCAAAACATGTCAAGGCCTGATGCCCCCGGCGGGTTTTGTCTCTGCGGCCCGTACATTCTTCGTGAATAGCACCCGACTTCACTCAAGGTATGATGTCTTGAGTGTGAATCAACCTCCTAATTCTCACTATTCAGATTTCAATAAGACATCGTCCCTCAATCGTATCCCCTGGCCGGGTATACATCCTTCATCGAGGGATGATGGTTTTATCCCATCCTTCTTTCTTTCATCCTATCTTTTCGTTTCCTTGAGCAGTTCATCGAAGAATTAGAGACTCAGGTTAGCGACATATTCGTTTTAATCTCTGTTTTACATCTGCCGTCACGGATATGGATATTCACCAAAGACACCCGCAGGCAGTTGCTCTGCCAATTCTATCTTCTTTCTCCATTGCTCTCGCCATTCCACCATTAATTTTGCATGGGAAGAACCGCAATTTCCCTGCTACCAGTCTGATCTTCTGGTCAATCCTCCTCAACTTGTTCAACATCACCAACGCCCTTATATGGCCCACGGACAACGTGGCGTCGTGGTGGGACGGAGCTGGCCTCTGTGATATCGAGGTCAAGTTTATGGCTGCCGGCTATGTGGGCATTCCAGGAAGTCTGGCATGCATCTTTCGAAGTCTTGCAATTGTACTGGACACAGACCGGGCTACATTAGTCCCGAGCAAAGGTCAACGCTGGCGCAATCAGTTCATGGAGATTCTGTTCTGCGTGGCTGTTCCAATCATTGCAATGATCACACATATCATCTGGCAGAAGAGTCGATACTTGCTATTTGCCATCTCGGGATGTGTGAACAACTTCGACGAGAGCTGGGTCAGTCTCGTCTTTGCATGGATCTGGCCGCCGGTCATCTGCCTCATTGCAGCATACTATTGCTGTACGTATACTCCCGACTTCCTTCATACAGAAAGATACGAAAAGCACACCAACTGACTAAACATCCCAGGCCTGGTCCTCATCCGCGTACACAAGTACAGAAACGACTTCGCAAACATCCTCCGCGCTTCTAGCAGCAATCTCAGCAAATCCCGCTTCCTCCGCCTCTTCTTCCTTGCCCTATCAATGCTCATCTGTATCCTCCCACTCCAAGGCTATGTCGTCTACGCCAACATAATCCTCTCCCTCCCCTGGCATCCCTACTCCTGGAGCAGAATCCACAACGGAGAATGGAATACCATCACCAAAATCCCCATCGACGGCACCGTCTTCTTCGACCGCTGGACCCCCGTCGCATCAGGCTTCATGATCTTCATCTTCTTCGGCTTCGGCCGCGACGCAACCCGCATGTACCGCACAGTCTTCTGGTATCTCGGACTGGGCTACTGCTTCCCAAGCATCCAGCCCCCAACGGAGACGCACAGCACCGCGCATTCCCCCGCGCACGCCTCAACAGCAACCACCCTCGTCGGCAGCATCAGCTCCCGTGCCAAATTGCTGTTCTCGCGCCAGAAGGAATCCATCACCACTTTTGTCTCGGCGCATGCTACATACAACGATCTTGAAAAGGGCACCTCTTCCACCTTATCCCGTCAGAGCGATGGCAGGTCGACCAAGAAGTCTCGATGGAGTAACTTGCCCTGGTCGCTCTTTAACAGACGTCAAACACGTCAGGATGTCGATGGCACACTGCTGGATGACCTCCCCGGCGGTGCCTCGCAGACCGTCTGCACCAATGCTTGGGCTAGTCACCGTGATAGTCGGGACTTGTCCAGTGGGCCGACTTCGCCGGAGCATAGTAGGGATTTCATTTATGTGCGGCAGGTTATTAGCCAGCAGAGTGAGGTTAGGGTTCAGAACTAGTGGGCTTGTTCATTCTTCGGGATTGTTTCGAGGGTTGCAGTGGCTTATTACGGTTCTTCTAATCTTGCCTTTACGTTAGTCTGGGGTCGTGGGGTTCTGCTGTACATCAGAGTAGTAATACTTAAGTATCGTAACACATAATAGGGAGTCTCTCCAAAATGGAAAATGAATGAATTTGTTTGAATCTGTTTCTGCTTAGACTACATGTTCCATATACCCAGCTTCTGCCACGTACTCCATCCACCCGCAATCGGAATCTCCGATTCCACCTGCGAAGTCGACGGCGACCCCTTCAGCATGGAAACTACCAATCCCTCCACAGGACCAGCGCGTCCTTAGATTCACCCAAAAATGCAACTGTCAACAAGCAAGCCACTTCTTCCAGCTCCCAATAGAACTCAGGAGAATAATCTACATCGAGCTAATGGGTAATCGGCGCGTACATATTAAGCATGCATGGATGATGCCGTCGCCATTTCGTCCGAGCGAGAAGGACAGGAAGCGCTGGGACTGGTGGCATGGTGTTTGCCAGAGAAGTGGATCTCTTGTTGATGATCGGTGTCGGAACCGTGAGGATGAGAGATATGCGAACAGGGTCGAGGGGTTGAAGAGTACTAAACTCGGGGGCGTAGAGTGGTTGAGGTGTTGTCAGATCGGGTGAGTCTTGGATGTTCTTGGATATAGATACAGCATGACTTATATTGTTTTCTAGGTATGAAGAGGCATTAACGGTCCTATACGGGACGAACGTCTTTGTTCTACCGCACGGATTAGACGCTCCGATTATCATGTCTACGCTTTTATCGCCTGTCTGCTCCTCTCTCATCACGTCTGTGAATGTCTCTTTTGATTTCTTGTGCGCATTAGACGAAATGCAGGCTGCGGCTTGGGAAACGGTTTACCCGGCCTTCTTTGGTCTGCTCGAGCATTGCTTTTGTAATGTTCGCTCGTTGTGCTTGACGATGCATATGCCGGCCTGGGAGAAGTGGAAGGGAGGATAAACGATGGCACCATGGACGATATTCTTGCTGCCTTGGAGAGACTTGCCCAGAGTCGAGGCTGGACTTGTTTAAGATTTGTGTTCCGTCTGATTGGCTCACTTGCTTGACAGGCAGGGAGAAGCAGAACAGGTGGGAGTTGACGATGACTACTGGTACGGGCGCACGTCTGTTGTCAAGGATACGTAAACTTTCGTATAAAATGAGATAAGTCACAGGTAGAATTCAGAAAAGCCAGTATTCGAACCAGTAATCGAGCTTTAGTATACTTAGTGTGTATGTGTACTACCTAGGTACACATGCTACCAAGATGTCATCCACTACAAAACGAAGTGTCAAAACGAAGTGTCAAAACGAAGTGTATTCAGGGTATAATCGTACAATATTATCACACCGCGAAGGAGGATTCACTCAACACAGCCCCAAAATGAAAGCAACAAATTCAGGTTGATACAGAGCCTTAATCAAACAATTTAGTGAGACTCGTCAGAGTGGCCGCCGTTATCGGGTCGCTTAAGGACCTCGAGAGTGCCTAGAGGAGTGTTAGCTTGAACCTTGGTTTTGTTTCCCCTCTTGTTTCCGAAGAGTGAAAGCAAATTGAGAAAACGGGGATCGACATACGCTGCACAACGTTCAGAGCGGACCGGGTCTGGCCCTCGGAATCTTCCCAGGTGGCCATTTTGGCATCACCTTCGACGTACAGGAGGGTTCTGCGGGGACGAAGTTAGCTTATCTGCATTAAGCTAAAGCTCAAGTTGCTGCATCGATGCAAGTGGCAAGAGGCAACTGAGCAAGGCAATTGAGCAGGGCAATCCCATAACCCCAGCCCTACTGTTCAAGGAGGAACATGACACGAAGGAGTCACGTCTCATCCGAAGGCGCCTCGCTTCATCGCCAAATCCACATGACGTAAGTCCAAACATGCCCACACGATCCCCATGCAAACTTCAAGCGCGAGCGCAAGCGCAAGCTCTCGATCCGCATAGAGCGTGCGGGTCTGCCGGACCCAATCGACACGATATAGCAACAACACACTCCCCGGACAAGACGGCATCCAAACACGCAGTATGGTGTCCCACACAAGCCGGAAAAATATCAAGAGCAGCGACTTACCCCTTCTGCAAGCCAAGGATGAAATCGCGCTGGGAGCCTTCGGGGACGAAGTTCGTGATGCGCCACCAGCTGGTCTGGCGGTTATCGCGGGGGCCGTGTGATGTGGCGATGTTGTACTTGACGATCTCCTGGCCGGAGGAGGTGGCATGGAGCTCGGGCTCTGCGCCGAGGCGGCCGGTGAGGGTCAAACGGGCGATGGAGTGGGCGGGCGAGGAGCTGAAGGCGCGGGCGGCCTGGGGGGCGTTGGCCATGCGCAGGGCAGGGCGCAGGGAGGAGAAGAAGGCGGACATAGTTGGATGGAGGATGTTGAATTATTAGATTATAAAGTATAGTAAGGATGGATCCATCGGGATTTGTTTTGGCGTGTTGATGTCGATAACGACACGTGATCTAGGGGGTTACCGCTTCCGGATGTGATACGACATAGACACTACATCCAGCTGGGGCATGGACGTATCTAGGCTGGCTAGTACTATACCTATGATTATATTATGGCTTGAGTCAAGGATTCGTTGAAATTGAGATCTCCTTAGAAATGGAATTGGGTACAGAGTGCTCCTTAGTCATTTGGGAGCTCCTAAGCTCATGCCCGATAGCTATAACTTTAGCTATTAACATGACCATTTCAGGTTTCTGCGCCACAGTTAAACATAATGAACCCCCTGAATAGGTTGTTGCCAACCTTCGCGCTCAGTCACATCAGGGTCCTCGGGAAGCATACGGTATTCTCCAACACCCCATTAGAAACCCCTTTTAAACCTTCTCCCTTGGAACTCCAAGCTTTCCTTAGTTTAAGCAACTGTCCAGTCATAAGATGCGATTGTCAACCTTGGCCTAATAAGTTGTGCTGGAGGCAACCACTTATGGCGTTGGCGGAAGGCCTGAAATACATATGTATGTACTCCATTTGCGAAGTGATCGGCATGGTTTACCAAGATTGCCAGCGGAAGACGTATCCAAATAGATTTAACAATAATATGTCAATGGTTGCACCGTCTAACTTGAAATGAGGTCGGTCTTCGTTTATGCTTGCAGGATTACCTTCTTTCTTCCTGTCGATTATCACCGCTGATGCCTACATATGTAGGTGGAATCCTAGAGAGGAAGTTCCGTCATTCTGGTTGATTCTGATTGAGCCAAAAGAGGACCCGCAGGACTGCAATGTCAAATTGGAATGGAGCCGAAGCGCAGTCATCGGAACGTGAACATCCCGGTGGTTGAGCTGAGATTCGCGGAGCTAAGGGTCATCCGAAATCCCGAGACTCCCATGACCGTGCCTTATAGCAGTTGTCGCACATAATAGCCACCATTCACTTTCCTAAGCCCCTTTATTATTGTATGTTTGGCTAGCTAGTTTATGTTGGAATCTACCTAAACCGAAAAGAATCGGAGCTGAAGCTTTCATTCTTTACCTTCTTTCCATCATTACCCCTTTTGGTGTGTGATGGATGATTCGTTAACCTCTCGGTTAAGGCTGACAATAAACACTGGATAGGACCTTTAGCAACACTTCCGAATTTATCTGATATGGACCATCCCATCTACTCCTCGCGGTACCGAAACCGTGCCTGCGAGAATTGCAGACAGTAATGCTAACCATCTTCTGAATTACTTGGGTGTTTGACTGACCATGTACAATATTGGATCATAGGCGCAAGAGGAGATGTATGCCTCGCTAATGTCAATTTGTTACCTCTTTCTTATCTCCATACTTAGGTGATACAGACAAGCCGCAGTGTCAGCGGTGTATGCGGTCGGGAGTTGCATGCGTTTATCCATTGCTCACTCTAAAGCCTGGCCCAAAGAAACGGCCAAGAAACGGTGGGTTCCACCTGGCAGGTGCTGAATAATGTCTGATTTCACTCGATTCAGATAACCCGACCATTGGTCGGGAGTTGCTGGAACAGCCGGTTACTGAACAGCAAAGCAGGGCCAGAAACGGACGGAATAATGCTGCACAAGTGACAACGTCAGTTGGCGGACAGACTGCACCTGTGTCGGTGCAGTGTCAGGACTCGTCTGTTTTGCCATCCCCAAGGAACTTTGAATCCGACAGTGATATTGATGAGCTTGCTTCCCTGCAGCCGGACTTCTTTCCGGTCCTCAGCAATTCTGGTGAGGTTCAGCCGTCAACATCACCAGCGGCACCAATGTTTCCTCAATATAGCATTATTGTCCACTTGGTGGAAGTATTTTTTGAGACGGTACAGCCCCAGTTCCACCTGCTCCATCGTCCATGTTTCCTCGAGCGGCTCCACAGCGGCTCTTTAATTGCACAAGAGCATTCGTCGCTTCTCTTAAATGCGATGTTTGCCCTTGCGTCGAGATATACGGATGACCCCCAAGTGCATGCCTTTGACCTCTTCTTGCTTGAAGATGCAAATCAGCCGGGTGCTTCGTCTAGACCCCCATTTGGAAAGTTAGAGCGTTGGGAGCACGGCAAAGGATTCATAAGACGTGCAAGCAAAATCTTCTACGATGAGGTCATGGAATTTGAGAGACTCGAGCTTGAGCATGGTATAGTCGAAAGGCCATCCTTGCTGCTGATTCAAGGAGCTACTTTGTTGAGTTATGCCAAGGTAACAATGGGGGCACTGTCCCAGGCTCACTCTCTGGTATCAACATGTGTTCGGATGGCATATGACGCTGGACTGGACCGGATTGATAGCGCAGAGCATCAACAACTCATACTCGGCTCTTCCTGCAAACACGAGGAAACTGAATGGGTCAAGAAAGAGGGACTACGTCATGTCTGGTGGTGTATATGGGAGCTGGATAGCTTTCTGGGCAGCGTCAAATGCGTACCGTGGATGATCGACGTTGCCAAGTGTCGGACGAAGCTCCCAGCTGATGATGATGATTGGTTCAAAGGAAACGAAGTTGCTTCTCCTCTTCTACCGAGCAGGACTGATCAGTGGCGCAAATTGGAGGACTCGTGGCATTGCACTTCATTCCTTGGCAACCGAATTGTTTCCCTCTATTTCTTGATGACTCTCATCGACGTAGTGAGTGGCGAGAATCCAGGCCGCTCCTGCCCCTACCTGGAAGTTGAACAATGCGTCGCAATCTGGAGGGAAAGATTGCCTGAAAAGCTAAAGTTCGAGTCACGCCCCAAGCGTGTTCACCAGAGTCCCGGCCAGCTCGCCGAAATATTTTCGACATATATAACCAACCAGCAGTGAGTATTGCTTTCTTAGACGAGGAGGTTAACTAAAACAGACGTGGTAGGATCAGTATTTTGATCGCGAGAGCCCAGATGTTCACAGGAGTCGACGCGGTATCTATATCAGACCAGTGTCGAAACTATCGAACAAGGCTGTTGAATCCTGGCGACGACTCGACAGTGCTTCCCGCAACACAAAAGTTCTTTGAAGCTTTCCTTGCGTCGGACATCATATGCGAGATTGTGAGAGACTGGCCTAGGCATTCGATTGGCCGCTGTTGTCCCTTTATCATCTTGGGATTCTGGACTCCTGCCTGCCTTCAGCTCCTAGTCAAGGCATTTGCTACTTCAACCTGGGACCTGCGTGAAAAAGCCCTGCTATCTTTTCAAACTTTCATGTTTGTTATGGAACAGATTGCGGAATATTGGGGCCTTGGACAGGTGATCCTTTGTATGTTGAAATAGTTCTCCCTGGTGCTCAAGGCCCGAAAAGCTAACGTTCATTCCTAGCGTCGTTTCGCATGTATGAACAGAGGCTGAATCGCACAACATCTGGCAGTGAGTTTCCAGATGTTGGCAAAGACGTCACCCTCACAAAACGATTGCTTTCACTGCCAAGCTACATTGATGATGCAATTTCCGATATTATCGATGAATCGGATCACGTCGACTACATGCAACATATTGGTCGCACTAACCAGCACCAAGTGGTAAATGTACTCCCCACAGACCTTTGGGATGTTGAACGTACCATTCTCATGGATGATCCCGGTTCGGGTCCGTTCTTATGTTCCACGCCGCAGGCTGATGACTGGATAAACTCTGCCCTTAGAGATGCCTCGGAAGCATATCGTGACCAATTCCCGGCCCCATAAGAGAGACGGAGTCGCCAAACTACCAAAGTGAATTTCAGAAAGGGTAAAGAGTAGTCCAGAAAAGGTCCCATTTGATGAAAAAATTCATAATCATTCATACACTTAGCAATATACGTCCAAATTGAGAATGGGAAAAGCTTGCAAGGCTATTTCCACAGATATCCTCCTACAAACTTGAGAAAATGAGGAGCCAGTACAGTCCTGAGATCTGCCGTGAAACCCTGTATATCCTGCATTTCCTTGCTCGCAGCATGCACATTGATGAGATATTCCAGGCTCTCATAAATATGGATGACGGCTAACCTGTCGGATTCCGCACGATTCAAAGCCACGCCCCATACAAATGTACCAGACTCAGCTTTGCTGGCGTCGGCGACCTTTTTCCAATATGGCAGCGTCGACTGAAGGGTACCCTGCTTGTATCCCAGATCTGTGAAAACAATCGTGGGATCTTCGTATCCGATTACCTCAGGTTTGGTGAAACTGGAATCTTCTTGGACTTCTAATGTCCAGATCTTTGGAGCTTCACCCAGACCCACGGCCAACCATGCGCTCAACTCTCGGATAGGAATTTGCCGGAAATGTTCCTCGTAAGCGGGTTCATCTGCATATCTTTGGCATCTTAGATTAAGCTGATCATGAAGCTCTCCTTGATAGGACTTACTCTTCTATGACCCATACGGCTCGCTCATTCGGGGTCTGAGATAAGGGAGTTTGGGCTTCTATGGTAAAGGCGTATCTCCGCAGCCCGGGCTCGTTCTTGTGGGCGTGATCGGCTGCCGTTCTTAGAAGTTTAAGAAGCTATGGTCTGTCAGCTAATACTTCCTTCGAGGGTTACCCCTTGACGTACTTTTTCTTGCGCGGCTTTGTCCTTAGGGGCGAGTCGGGCGACGACTGCTTTTGGAAACATTTCCCTTTTCTTAATCCAAAACCCGGTGTTTTGTGTATGTAGTTAAGAACCAAAGAATATGCAGATGCGGGCTTATTCTGGAACAGATATGTCCAGTCCGATCCGCCTTCCCCGAGTGGAATATATAACCAGGACTAAGTACTCTAAAGAGCCGAAACCGACTATTAATCTGATTGCGGCGTATCTGTCATTGGGGACTGCGGCCTTTGGGCACTAGCGGACTATCTGGACTCGGCCGAACTCTTATTGCGGACTAATTCTCAAAGTGTTCAATATCCCCACCTATATCACGTACACTTATCGACTATGTCTTTTTCTTTGGCATTACGTTATCCCTACGCACCGTCCGAAAAGGTTCCTCCCCGTCTCCATCTTGCTAAATACCAACTTTGGCATGGCCAACGTCGACGATCCCAAAAGAGCGGAAGCGACACTGAAGGCTGCAACTCGCCGTGTCAATTTCAAAATTGCCGAGGCCTCTCGGCCAGTGTTTGATGAGTCCATCACTGTTCAATTCACTCAACCTCCGGAGCCAGACTGGGTATGTGGCTCTGGGTCCAACAAAACATCGGCCAAGGCTTCCGCAGATCCCACGAAACACATATCTATTGATCCTTATGCCGCTGATCGAACATTGTTCAACAACTACCAATTGCTCGTGAGCGGAATCGTCCCACGACCCATCGCTTTGGTATCCACATGCTCCCGTGACGGAAAGACCGAAAACTTGGCACCTTTCAGCTTTTTCCAGTTCGTCAATGTTGATCCGCCGGTCATCGCGCTGGCTGTGACAAGCCCGATCAGTGCGGCAAAGGACACTTTGCGTAACCTACTCGAAACTGGGGAATGCGTCATCAATGTTGTAAGCGAAGGCTTCATCGAAGCTGTTAACGCTTCCAGCGCCAATGCCCCATACGGTGCTTCAGAATGGGATATCAGTGGTCTGACACCCGTGTACGACACTAAAACGGTTTCCCCTCCTCGAGCGAAGGAATCCATTTTCAGTATCGAGGCGAAGCTGGAAAGCGTGCGCAATTTTACTAGCAGACTGAATCCCGGAACTAAATCGGGCTCTTTGCAGCTCGTAGAAGCCACTCACTTCTGGGCACGAGAGGATGCCCTCACTCCCGACGGAAAATCTTTGGATATTTCGGTCAGTTGATACCCACCTTGTACCCTCTACTCTTTTTGTTTTGCAAAGCTCAATTTGGATTACTTTGCCACTTCTGACAAACATCGCTCAAATCTGGTGGACAAGTAAAGCAAGCTAACAGAGCCACAGATCTTGCGGCCAGTGAGCAGGCTAGGTGGCATCTCATATGGCCGGATCACTCAAGTCTTTGATCTGCAACGGCCGGATTTTGATCTCGATGTGGGCGGTTTGGAGGGTTATGCGAAGCTGAAGAGAGAAAGGGAACAGAAAGAAAGGAGTGCTGCCTAGGCCTGTGTTTAGAGACAAAGCACTATTTGGGATAGCGGGTTGTTATCACAGCATTAAAGTAGGCTAGCAATGATGTCTTTTATACTTCCAAGGGTATCCCTCATTTTCTCGAATCCTCTTGGGAGTTGAGTACTATTCGGGGATTTTTATCATTAGGCCTTCAGGAACCCGGGCCATGCCTTATTTCTTTCTTTCTATTTATTCTTATGATTAGAGTTTTTTGTGCTATAGAGGTGACATGTCATTTAAAACAAGCAGGAAAAAAAAAGCTGGTGCTGGTAGAGACAATTGCCGGACGATTGAATCCTACTAAGAGTCTCAATGGAAATTTCGAGCAGATTTGACGCTGAGATTTACCACTACTAGCGTATTAATTCCAGGCGGTATGTACAGGGGTTTGGAATTAATCTAGAGAGGTTCATATTTCTTGCGTATTCATTACTACGGGTAGAAAAAAATAAGAGTATTCGATTGAATGGCTCTAGTTACGACAAACGAAAGCAACGAAAAGAAAGCAATATAAGAACTATACTTGTGACGAAGCTATGTGGCTCAGATTACTGAGCACCTTAAGGGGCGACGGTAGTTAGGCCCTGGACCTATTCAAGGAAAACAGCCGAGACCTGATTCTTGAAGTTCTTTCCGGCCTGGTTGTAGGCCCAATCTGTCAATCGGAGAGGGCTTTCGGTTTCAATAACACCGGCGGTGATGCCGTCGTCCTGCAGCCTGCCAGGTCTAGATGTGTCCTTTTCCTGCCAGTGCTTGTACTCTTCGTCATTCTCCCCGTGGGGTATCATAGACCCATTGAGCCACGCACCGAACGGGGCCCAATCACGACCCTGATTAAACGGAAACTTGGGGTCCGTGTTATTGATTATGGGGAAGACGAATTCCTGCATCGTGTTGCGGTGGTACCACGGCACCCATGGAGTATCCTCCGATGCCTCCCAGTGGGGTCCCACAGCGGCGAAATCCACAACAGCCGTGCCAGGGGCTTTGCCGTATGCTGGTGCTGTGAGGATAACGAAAAGCGAAGGATCGTGATGATCCCAGCACAGGTTTCCAAGGTAGCTGAAGCGAGCAACGTCGTACTTGTACGGGTAAAGGTTGCCTTGCCAGCCTGTAACATCAAACGGGAGTAGTCTCCTGCGCGGCTGACCAGAGTTGGTAGTTGAGGCGAGCGATAATAGTCCAAGCAGGCCCATTGTTGGCCTTTGCGACGATACCGTCGCGCGAGTTCTTGTCTTCCACGAACTGTCCATCGAAGTACGCCACGGGAATCTGGAAGTCCCGTTGGTGTGCCAGCCCAGTGGATCCAATAATGCCCATCTCTGGCAGCTGAAAGTGGCCTTGGTAGAGTTCAAGCGTTACTCCCCTAGCAGGCTTTCCTTCAGGAAGTGTCACTCGGTATTTGACACCCCGCGGGATGACGGCGAATTCGTTCTGCCTGACAAGAAGCTTTCCAAGCTCGGTTTGGATGTCCAGTGCGCCTACTGATGGAACAATCAGAGCCTCGCCATCTAAACTCATGAAAACAGTGTTTGGCTCCATGTCCTTGTTGATGTTGAAGACCCAGATGGAAACGCCCTCTTTTTTGGCAGGATCTCCATTGCTGCCGAGCAGACGTTGTTCTGTCCAGTCGGAATCCTGATCAAGGGCGAACTGGAACTTCGGCCAGTTGTATGAATTCGGCGTCAGATGTTTGGCAGGAGATGGGTTCGCAGTTTCGAGATGATGGTTGTATGGTGTATATTCGTCGTGGAAAAAGGCCGGTCGCACACGATATAGATATGTATGCAAGTTCCTGTGTCGGGGACCAACGAATGAGGTTCCAGATATCTTCTCCGAGCGTGTTCCAAAAGGGGGGAACTGGGGGTGGTTGTTGACCAAAGGTACAGCACCCGGGTATGTCTCAGACCTGACAAAGGTGCATTAGAATGAAAGTTCTGTCGTAATCGGTATATATTCCCTCACTGGATGAAGTTTCCTAAGCCATCGTGATACTGGTACGTATCCTTTAGGACATATGGCGTGGTCTTATTCAGAGCCATTGTGACAAATCACAAGGAGTATTGCAAAACTTTGATAACAGTAGTTGTAGAAATTCTTTGAAGTCGCTGAGTGAAAAAGAATTTCACGTCCTGCGACTGATGTTGAGTTTTATACTCCATGAACATACACTGGAATGCCCCAAGGTTGTCATCTCTTTCCAGCGGAATATCTTTATTCACCTTTGACCGCAATATCGACACGTTCCTGTATATTCCTGAATGAATGCGGCCTATTTCTTTTTTTTTTTCGAAACAGCGGATGAATAGACCAGTATGGCGGCATAATACATACAATGCGGAGAAAAGTCTCTCAGTCTCCACATACTTGGCATGGATAGAAGCACCTGTGCACCGTTTGGGTAGAGGGATAATTGGACGATCAGACATAATGCGAAAATTCAATGAATATGTTCGTATGGAATCTAGGAACTTTCGATATGGAGCCTGAGGTAATATAGGAAGTACTAGTAGAGAGTAATATGATATGAAATGCTATCTAATTATTGAATTATTGACTAGAGACTACGACTACAAATAGAATAGTCTAATTACCTCTAATATAACTTAGCCATATATTAAAAATTGTGGTTAATTACTGCTTTTACATGAATAATCGACTTGTATCCTCCCGAGGTCCTGACTAGAGGTGGACTGAAGGCGGCCTATTTCCCATTCGGGATTAACAGACCGGTATAGCGAATCATCACCGTTTGATTGTAGACTATTGGAGAACCAGGGATAACTTGGTGTACAATGTGCGGTGGGAATTATGAGAGTTGGATACGGAGCTTGGGACAGCACGTACTGGAGAGCAAATATATAGTGGTCTACTTACTCCCTATTGAAATTGTCCACATCTCCAGCATCTTCGCTTTACTGCTTTTTATCCTTTTTTCATCACCTGGTACCTGCAACTTCCCACTGAAAACCAATTTGTCAACACAGCGATGAGCACCAAAGTCTTGGTCGGTCACTTCAATGACGGCCCCTTTATTGGTCTGAGCTACCGAACAACTTCTCAAAAAGGTGTAACGGGAAATGACGGGAAATTCCTCTATCTGGAGGGAGAATATGTGACTTTCTCTATCGGCAAATTGACTATTGGTGTCGCGAAGGCAGCCTCGTCTCTGACGCTAGCATCTCTTCACAATAGTGCCGACAACGTGGTAGTGGACGTTCTCCTTCCTGAAACTATAAACCGGGCACGTTTCGTTCTGAGCCTGGGACGAGAAGCTGATCTCCATAACGGTGTCGTGATTGACGAGACTGCAAAGAACGTCATCAACCCCAGGCAGACGAGATAATCTTCACCACTAGCGTCGAGGATTTTGAACAATCGCCCTCTGTCAGGACAGTCTTTGAACAGCTAGGCCGCCGATTCCGTGGAGCTGCCGAAGCTCGTAACCACACCCGGCGGGGTCTTTTGGGAATCAAAGCGATCCGAGATGTCCCGGTGCCACTCCGTGACGGAACCTATCTCTTGGCCGACGTCTTTCATCCTGTCGACAAGGGTGTTTACCCAGTGTTGTTGAGACTGAGCATTTATGGTCGTGCATTCACAATCGGTTCTATACACACGGAGACCGACTACAACGACAGCGAGGAACGTGAAGCAGCTTGGTATGAAAAGGATCGATCTCCGATTCATCCTTACATGCGGTACTCGGAAAGCTGTGTGAGCGCCAACAGCAGCGACTGGGTACCTCGCGGATACGTTGTCATCCGTGTGGATGGAAGAGGTGTGGGCAAGTCGCCTGGGAAGCTTGACCCATTTTCGCGACAGGAGGCAGAAGACTATTACGATGCCATTCAATGGGCTGCTCAACAACCGTGGAGCAATGGCATGGTTGGATTGTACGGGGCATCATATAATGCAACGATCCAATGGAATGTCGCTGCTCTACAACCTCCCGCCCTGAAAGCTATTGCACCACTGGCCTCTGATGCGGATGCTTACCGGGACTTAGCATACCAAGGTGGTATCCTTCTCGACAACTACCGCCGGTGGTGGTTTGAGGATACAGTGGGGCCTGCTAAGAACCCTGAGTCTGCCGCTGTCGACTTCGTTGGGGGGTTACGCAGTCACCCTTGGGACGACACGTACTACCACGGAAAGGCGTTAATGTCGGCCGAGTACGCACGCATCAATGTGCCCTTTATCACATCCGTCAGCCAGACTTCTTGGATTCACTCTCGTGCTGGCTTCGAATCATTTGCGCAGATACCCTCAAAATCAAAGAGGCTATTGATTTGGGAACGCTTCTTATACATCTTACATGTACCAAGACAGCAAATGCGATTTGGAGGAATTTTTTGATGAACACCTCAAGGGGAAAAAGCCAAAGAAAGAGCCACCGCCAGTGCGCCTAATTATCCGAACAGGCGATGGTGGATTTGAGTGGCGCGAATCTGATAGTTGGCCCCTTAAAGGGACTGAGTATCGGAAATTCTTCCTTGACGCTAGTGGCGAGAATCCTGGCGGGCGCCTCTCTGACGTTCCACCGAGAGACAAGGGTGTTTCCATATACTCTGCAGACGTTGGCGGGCCTGTGGAGGATGTTGCTTTGGCTGTGTTCGATCCAGAGCCTCTCAAAGAGGATATTAAACTCGCAGGCCATTTCCGTGCAAGTCTATGGGTGTCATCATCCTCCACAGATGCCGATGTTTTCGTCGCTGTCCGCGTCTTTGACGGCGAACGAGAAGTCCAATATCGGACGCGTGAGCCTGGTTCAGTGGCTCCGTTGACATGGGGGGTTCTAAAAGCTTCCCACCGAGCTCTTGACCCCAAACTGAGCACGGCGGAACGCCCTTGGCACACACATCGACAGAAGGATGCTCTCCCTCTTACACCCGGCGAGATAGTGCCAATTGAAGTCGAATTAATGCCTGCTACTGCACGCATTTCTGCTGGATACCGACTTCGCGTCGAGATCTCTGCAGCCGAGGGAAGAGGAAGAGTCCCTGGGTTTGAACGGGCATATGACGAATCCTATCACAAAGGTGTTGTCAATCGTGTCTTTACAGGTGATGTCTATGTCAGCTCCATCACCATCCCTGTGATATCTAGTTAGGCTGCCGGAAATGCTGCTCAATGTACGACTGGTACTGCCCATTCAGATCTGTCCACATCAAGTTATAATATCGACTTGGATGACGAAGGCTTGTCGTAAGATCAGGGACACAATGCAGTGTTGAAATAAAATAGTAAAGTGGTAATATCAACCAATTGACTTGAGAGATGACACCGTGCAGCGAAAAAGTATTCTGTTGTTCCGTCTAGTAGAACAAGTATTCCAGCACCATCATATCAAGTGCAGGATATTGTGCTGGCATTGCATTTCTAGCCCTCCAAGCCCTCCGTTCTGGGGCATGTCCGATAGCAACATTACAGTCTATGCGGGCACACCTGATCTGGTTGTCCCCAGTGGGTAGGGTAGGTCCTGGCCCTCCTTTGCATACGAATTTTCTCTGACTACCATTTTCTGTTCCTGTTCTTTTAGCGAGGTCCCATTTAATAGCACCAAGAGTGGAAAGACAGAGTACTTGCCCGTCACAATCAGCCTGGGTGCAGCGCGAGGATGCGATCTGATGCTGGCCAATATGATCACCGAAATGGAGGAACAAGGTACACTGGAACCAGTTGCTAAGGGTCCGATGCTATATCCGTGAAAAGGAAGACGGAATCAAGGGATCGAGGGAGTGACCAACGTGTTCTGCGGCTTTAAACTTGGCGGCAGCCTCAGTACAGTCAATCGAGGCCGAGGTCCCCCCTGACGTCGACTTGGGATGAAAGCAGAGTTGAGGATCAAGGTAAGCCAATTTGTGGATGGGTGAAGAAAGTGGCTTATTCTTCGGACTTAATTCCAAGGAGCTCGTTTTCAACCATTATTTAGCAAGGTCGGAAAACTCCAGAGCAGAATTGTTGGCCAGTTCTGCATGAATGTCTCATGAAACTGAAACTTGAGGATGGGAGAGAGAGACTAAGCTGGCCGTGTTGATTAATCAAAATAATAACTAATATGATCCGATAAAACATATAAATGTCTTGGACGGGTCGTCACCTTGGACCGGTAATTTGGATGACAACCATGACAGTATGTTCAGGTAGATCATTACATATAGGTATCCTCAGGTACCTAGGTAGGTATCCCATTGGCAAGTCCACAAGTCCACAAACTGGTGCTTAAGGAAATAGATGAAATTGTCTTGTCAGCAGACTTGGACCTTTAACGACAGAATGTGAAGAATGTATCAATTGCACAAATTCTTTGGAGGGCAGTAGATATGAATTCATTCCTCCCATGTAGTGCAATGATGAATGGAACAGTTCATGATTTAATGCTAATCATGGAAGCTGCGCAATGTCCGGAAGCCCTGCCCAGGTGGCTCGCATCCCATAAATTAGTCACCATACACGTGATCTGCAATACGAGTCAGTGATTCTGGGCTGACCCCGTAAAAGGGGGCCCTGCTAGGAACACCTCGCAGACATTTCCCTATCCATATACTCCATAATCCGTGCATATCTAGTCCATACGGGAGCAGACAGCTACGGGCCCCAGGATTATAAATCCAGCGTCTCCCGTTCCGAGTCAAAAGAAAAAGCAAGGACGGAAAATGTAAAGAAATGCAAATCAAACGAGCCTAGCTCTATTATTTTGAAATCACCATGTGAATGCCAACACGAACACGCCAGTGTATATTTTTTTTCAGCCTAATCATGTCACAATCCATCACATCCGACAGTCCCGCAAAGATTGTACGGATTACCGAGTACGAAGTACTCCGTACAAGTGCACAATTGTACAATGCCAGGCACACCAAACTGGAAATGGCAGCCCATAGGCAGATCGGCTAGGGGTCAGATCCCAGTGGAGAAGCCGCAATATCGCTGATTGAGTGAACCGGACCGAAGATAAATTAAGATAACTGTTGTCTCAGATGCACTCCTTGCATTGTCAATTAGCGGCCCAACCACGTCGCTGCGGAGGGGGCGTTTGCGAGTCAACAATGGGCTGATATGGCTAACACGGCCTGGACCTGCAGGTATCTGCATGACAATGGTGGTGAGATTGGTCAAGTCAAAGTTCAAAGTTAAATTCGTCAAATCTTCGCCAAATTTGTAGAATCGATAGATCGCCTATGATAGTCAAAGCGCGGCGCCACCCGTAAGAACTGAGTCTGCTATTTTTTTTTCACCGCAATCTGTAGACTTTGAATATCAAGGACGGTGTACGAAGTAACTACCAACCATATAACAGGGATGAAATGACAGCTCACTTGCATATGCAATGCTTTGTTCAACGGCTTAAAGAAGAAAAAAAAGAAAAAGAAAAACAAATAATCCAACAGAGCCATGGTTAATGAAAAAAGATAATTCAGCCACAATATGGAGATGGGGATCTTCTCTCTCTCTCCTCTTTGGTCCGTGCCAGTGCTGGTCCCAGTTGATCGAAGATGATTGCTGGCTCGATCGGCAATTTCCTCGATCGGTGGGGACAAAAGTAGATAGTTCAGGTACAATCGCGCTTTAAAATATTCTCTTGTCCTCTTAGATTCCTCGTTCAGTCCATCTTTTGTGCTAATAAACTCAAAATATGGTTCTTTTCCCAGGTCTTTACGTGTTTTCGTTTATATGTAGGCTTAGGGCTACTCCGTTAGTCTTTGCTGTCTTTTCTCCCTTACCCTATAATGCGTCCCTGGCGCCACGTCAATTAATTCCTTTCTTTTTATTAATTATTAATATTCGTGTATTCCCGTCTATATTGATTTCGCGCGCGAACCGTGTGACTAACAGGGATATGTGAAAGACGTGCTGGTCTTACCATAACCAAGGACGTTTCTCTACGGAGAATCAATTGGATTTCGCTAAGTCAAAATGCGGTGGTCTTTGCTGTTCACCTTAATAGTCTCCCTGTTCCTACTGGGGACATTGGCAGCGCCAACTTCAGGCCCGGGACGACGCGATATTGGAGGCGCCAACCTTGAGGCTAGACAGGAAAACGAAACGGATCCTACAACTGAGAATGCTACCGAGGCTACAACCGCAACTCAAACAGATGCGTCAAAAACAGTAACCGATGCATCTACAGCTACCGAAGCTACAGCGACAGATGCTACTGCCTCGACTACCAGCTCGACCGCTGCTACAACCAATGCCACGACCAATGCTACGACGACGACTTCTGCTGCTTCTGCTACCTCGACTGTTCCCTCGCTCGACGGAACAACTCCATCTTCTCAGCAGCAAACCGCAAATTCCTCTAGACCAACCTACTCTGGCGGTCTGCCAATCAAACCGACCATCACGCCGGCATGGGGTGTTGGGGGATTTATATTAATAGCACTGGGGGCTGTTCTGACTTTCATTGGTGTCCGCAAACAATGGTATTCATTCTTCGACTCTTGGATGCTAATATCTTTTGCTAACAAAAGAAAAGGGTCCAAATCTTCCTCTCGACTGCACTCCTTAGCGCTTTGGGAGTTACCGTGAGTTTTATACTTGGAAAGTAGTAAAGAACGGAACTAATCAATCTCAATACAGGTCCTCATTATCTATGTAATGAGCCCACCGGTCAGCAACGCCGTGCAGGGCGGCTATCTCGTCGCCGCCTTCTTCACCGGCGCTGTGTTCGGTGGCCTATCGCTCGTCTTCAGAGAAATCTGCGAGGGATTGGGCTGTCTTCTGGGCGGTTTCTGTCTGAGCATGTGGCTCCTTTCCTTGAAATCCGGCGGTCTTCTTACCGAGGGCGGCCCCAAGGCCGGCATGATCATTGCCTTTACCGTGGGATTCTACTCCCTATCATTCAGCCACTATACACGGCCATACGGGCTGATCGGGTGCACGTCGTTCGCCGGTGCAACTGCCCTGGTTCTTGGGATTGATTGCTACAGCAGAGCTGGACTGAAAGAGTTCTGGTTATATATTTGGGGTAAGTCTAACATTTCTTTTGGGTTCCATACTGTTCCTAGTTGTTGACGAACCTAGGATTGAACCAAAACGCCTTCCCTCTCAGAACGAATACCTATCCCGTCACACGTGGTATTCGTGTTGAGCTCGCCGCCACTATTATTATTGCTGTTCTCGGGGTAATCTCCCAGGTCAGACTTTGGAACCTCATCAAGGAACGCAGAGCCAAGGAAGAAAATGCCCGCCGGGAACGCACCAGAAAGATCGAAGAAGAAGATGCCGAAGTCGGTCGCCGCCTCGAGGAAAAGAACATCCAAGACCGCGCTGAATGGGAACTCATTTACGGAAACGGAAAGCCGGATGGCAAGACTGTCTCGGTTTCGGAGACTGCTGTCGGTGACTCCCGACGGGGGTCGGATGGGTTCGAGTCATCTGAGAACGGCAAGGAGGGTGATATCGAGCTGAAGGAGATGCCCAGCCCGAATGCTTCTGGTAATGCCTCTGACAAGGAGAAGAACCGTCAGGGTGAAAACGATGCTCGTGAACTCGAGGCTGTGCCGGAGGAGGATTCATCCCAGCAGGGTCAGTCACGGGATGCAGATGAGGAAAAGGGGGCCGAGAAGGAGCGTCAATCTAAAGAAAAGACCCCGAGACCTACTACACCTGTTATTACTCATGTTCTTGGTGAGGGCAATGATGACTCCTCTGAGCATGGTGCTGAAATCGGCTCGGAGGTTGGTACGCCGCGCTCCAAACGGTTTTCTGGCAGAGAAATGTTGAACCGGCTCTCTTGGCGGAACAGCAACGGTGTGGTGATTGTTTCACAGTCTCAGGAGAATCTGGTGGCTCATGATGATGCCAGTTCTTCTGTACGGGGAGTCGTGGATGATCTCCATGAGGTGAGCGTTGGTTGTCCGAGTGTTATCTCGGATGCGGATGTTCACGACCATGAGCAAACGCAGAAAGAAATTAAGGCCGAGCTAGCTCCAGAGCAGGACTCCGCGGATGCGGAGATTATGTCAAATGTTGGTTCACCAACTGTCCAAGATGCTGGACTCCGTTTCGATATGGCCACAGCCCAAACAGACGCCGAGAAAGTGATCACCGAAGATACCACTGTCAGCCAGCCTGTTCAGCAGGTGTCTCCCGTCGAGAGCACTGTTATTGCCGACAGTTCTTCTGAGAATTCTGGCGTTTCCGAAGTGTCAGAGAAGCCCCAATCGCCGGAAACCCCCGCAACAGATGTTCAAGGAGACATTCCAGATGCTTCAGGGAAGACCGAGGAAGTCAAGTCCACAGCTACATTGGAGCCATCACCTTTGAACGATACTGAAGGGGGGAAGGTGGACGAGACCAATGAAGATCTACCTCCTACTACTAAAACCGTTAAAGCTGAGTCTATCCCTGAATCGAAAGTTGTATCTTTGCCCGAGCCCAAGGTTGAGCCAGAGATCAAAGTGCTCAGGAAACTGGATGCATCAACCGTCAAATGCATCCCTGAGCAAACATCACGAGTGATTCACTCGTACCGCACAAACGAATGGGCCAAGCATCTCGCAGATGCTGAAACTCCTGAGATGGAGCCAATTGAGTCCGAACCTGAACCGGAGGCAGAAGACTCAGAGGAAGTTTGCGAGACTGCAGCATTTGTCGATGTAGGCGGTCTTCTCCAGACGCCTCTTACTGCACAACCACCACCAATCGTGAACAGACCTGAATTTGATGATATGGAAAATCAACAATCTGCCTACGTCTCACCGTTACCCTCGCCGGATATTCCCCAATCCAAGACGCGGACAGGCCCCCAAGGTCTCACCAAAGCGAATCCAACTTTAAGCCGGAACAACTCGACAGCTTCAGTCAACATGCTTCGATCATCTTCTGGCCCTCTTCCAACTCGGGAATCGGGGTTGGCGTCGATGCGCAGCACATCGACTCCCCTGCTGACAATCACTACTCCCAACGAGCCCAAAGAAACAGGGCCATCACCACGCTGGAACGGACCACCTCCTCTCCTCGCAGTCCGCCAGAACATGGTCCGAAACCGCATGTCGTCAACATCAGACCGCTTCGATCCCTGGGCCGCACGGAACCTATCCCGCCAGTCCCTACCTGAAATGGCCCACCTTGTCTCCCCGATTTCACCACCGCTCTCCATCCCCGAAGAAACGGAGATAGAACACGAACAAGCCCAACCCAACGACGACGACATTCCACTTTCCAAGCGGCGTGCCCTGCTCCAACGCCAAACTGTGCAGTCCCCATCTGCATTAACACTGGACAACCTCGAGGCTGCCCAATCCCCTGGATACTTCCAGCCAGCTCCCGCCGAGCTGAACCGGTCTGCATCAAGAATGGCAGCGTGGCGACAATCGGTCCGCGAAGATATCACTCAAAAAAGAGATCCTTTGGCCATCCAGTCCCAGCCCCTCAGCCCGGTCAGTCCCCCCGACCAGCGGCGCAGTACATGGAATTCTGTGCAGCAGATGCGCGACGCCTCGTCTATTCAGCTGGGCGATGCCATTGCAGACGGCATGCAGCGTGGCAACATGACGGATCTACACCGTCAGGCAATGCGGCGTATGCAGGCTTCGGCGAATCGAAAGCTGTAGTGCCTAATCATGGCTCACTCATTTTACTCGATACCCTTTGTTTGTGTTTTTTAACTAGGTGTTGTTATTACATGCCGCGGCGAATGTGCCTTTCCCACGACTTTATGAAGGATTTATTATTGCATCCATGTCTATAATCTCTATTTGATAATGTATATTTTCATATTTTTACCCGCCTACACAAGCTCTATGCAGCAAGTAAGACGGCTATCCCGAGCACAGCCGAGACCTGGACTGAAATGAAATGCAGTTCGTCATTGTACAATAAAGCAATAGTACGTCTATTAGCGTTTGCTAGAGGCATACTATACCCAATAAAAGCCGAGATGAAACAAGGGACGGTCGATTAATCACAGTGAAACTGGGGGCAAACGGCTCGCATATATATTATTGTTATTGAATTGGATGTATCCCTTTCGAGTGTCTGTTGATATAAGATGTAAGATCCTTTTTCACCAGTTTCCTATTTCTGTTAAATATTTAGAAGGATTATATACGCCAAGCAAGCTTCTATAAGGATTTATCAGGATTTCATCTCGAGTTTCACCTATTCAAATCCAACGTCTTTCTTTTCCCCTAATTCTTTTCTAATTCTTTTCTAATTTTATTTTCTTTACGCTCATTTATTGCATGTCCTCCACATAGGGCACTTTTTCCTTGGCCGATCTCCATCTCCGCTTTCTCCCCATCTCCTTTCTCCCCTCAAAACGGCGTCCTTAAAAATCCCCAGACCTCTAAGGGAGGAAGAAACACACTGTTATCCACAACAATTCCTAACCGGGCCATCAACCAATCGCGCCCCCGTGGAGTCAACTCCGTCATTTGTTCGCGCCCAGCGGCGACAGTGCGTCCCGATCTCTGGCCCGCCGTCGCTTCTCCGCCCACCAGCAGTCCGGCTCGCAAACCCAGTCAATTACGTCCCACGAATAACCCCAATAACCGTCCGCCCACACCAATCCGACGAAAGCCTCCCACTAGGCTTCGGCCACTCACGCGACGCCCATCCCCTCCTCAGCGTCCCAGAGCGACGTCGCAGTCGCCTAACCCCATCCCCAAGCAGCCTGCTCGTCGAGCGCAGCCAGGGGGAAACAGAAAGTGGCCGGACTAGCATTGCCCTACCGCGACGACACCGCCGCAGCGAAGACTTCAACGAAATGGCCGCCGCGTTCGCGGGCAGCGCAGCGCGCGATACGGAGAACCTGCGTCCTCCCGAAGCTGTCCACCTCACGCAAAACGGCACTCGTCAGAATGATCGCCCCCGCCACGCCCAGTCGCAGACTTCCCTCCGCTCCCAGTCTCAGATTGCTTCTGTGCCCTCGCATACCGGTCAGCCGCAGGCAGATGTTGCGGAGGAGCTTGCTTGGGGTCCGGCTCATCCTTGCTTCCCGCATGTTAATCCCCATGTGCCTGTCGGGTCGAGGGAGCATATGACAACGCGGGTGATTCGTATCCGGCGCGACTGGATGATTAAGGGTGATTTGGCGCCGACGTTTTCGAATCTGTATCCTGAGATTCTGGATCCGTTGTTGTCGGAGCAGGAGTTCCGTCGGGTGATTTCTACCGTCAATGATGGTATTATCAAGGCCTTTGATCCGTTCAGTTTTCGGAATTGGTTTGATGGCGCGGTGGGTTTGTTGACTGGTTGGGTATGGGATGATCTCAATGGTCCCGCGACGAAAAGCCAGCTGCAGCATGTTGAGGCTTGGCTGGAGAATTGGAATCGTGAGGTCGGTGCTAAGGATGGTGTTCATATCTGGAGCTTGAGGCGGACGGCGTACATGTCCCTTGACATCCAGATTCCCGATCCAAAGGTTGGTATCGTACCCAGTGAAGCACCTTCGGCTCCTAATACCAGGCCAAGTACTGGTATTGGGGCTGGGTCTTGATGGGGTTTGTCGGGCTGGAGTACGCCGTTTTGCTTTTGCTTTCTGATTGTACATCTTTCTGATTTGTTCCCTTCCTGGGACCTCTGCATGATATCCATCCCGCGGCATTTTTTCCTACAATCTTTCCTTATATACCTTCATCTTTTGAGGAGGTTCTTTTAATCTTTTTGTGATCTAATACCTTTCTTTTACATTTCTTCTGTCAGCTTTGTCTACATATCCCTCTTGATCCTAGGGGCTACTTTACCCTGATTTCTTATTGTCATCTTCATGCCTTTGTGTCCATATCTGGATGTCACACTGCATTCTCCTAGACATACTACCATTCTGGAAAAGAATTACATTCTGGCTTTTCTTTCTCTCTCCTCTTTAATACTCACATTGCTAAATCAACATCGCTTTTCACGCTAACCACATACGGCTTAGAGCCTCTGGGACCAAATCGTCAATATACGCTTCTACGTATTTTCAACTTCCCCTACGCATACATGCACTTGCGAAATTGAATTCATCTACTTTCCCATAATGGCGCTCGCCCAACTACCTACTGCGATCCTGTGGATCATCGCATCATGCTTTTGCCACCAAAGGGACATTTACGCCTTGGTCCGGACCAATTGTCATCTATACAAAACACTCATCAAGTTTCTGTATTGCTTTCACGGCCAGTATAAGCATGGAGCCGCGCTCTCTTTTGCTGCTGAGCGGAACCTCCTTTTACAAGTTGAAAGTTTGCTGGATGGGCTGAATGCTGCCCGCAACCAGCCTCAAGCATCCCTAGTAGCGATAGAAGCAACGGAAGACAAGGCGCCAAAAATGTATGACGACGACGACGACGGAGAAGAAGAAGAAGAAGAAGAAGAAGACACCGAGCCAAGGAGAACCCGAGACAATGAAAGATGGGGCCCCACGGATCCTTACTGTCAGGATATCTTTACCCACCCTCTCTTCCAACAGGGATACAGCATCCCGAGCGTTGTGAATATCCAGCACGCTCTAGTGGTGGCAATCCAGGGTGGCCATACCAAAATCGTGGCCGTCTTGCTGGATTTTGGTGCACAGGCCAACTTCTACTATGGGGAGCGCGTTCAATGCTTAATTAGTCAACATAGTCGCAACCGGTGGCATAGTAAGGAGGTTGACTACCCGCCCCTCTTCACTGCGGTACAGTTCGGGAATCTGGAGCTAGTAAAGTTGCTGTTTCGGCGTGGTGCTGATCCAGAGCTGTATGCCCCTTCACCGTTATATCGCGCTGTGAAAGATGATCGACGGGATATTATCCCTGTATTGCTCGAACATGGCGTGGGGCCGCAAGCAACAGCGTTGAAGCTAGCTATACTACGTGAGGATGAGTCTATGGTGAGACTTCTTCTTGATGGAGGATTAAATGTTTCACCGTACGGATATGCTGGACTCTACACTGCTAAAATGAAGGGTGACCAGGATATGGTCGACTTGCTGGAGTCTCAGGGTGCGACCTTGGCTGCACTTACTGACACTGACAAGAGAAATTGGGCGAAGGAGGACGGGGATGGCACTCGTCGGCCTCTTTTTCACCGTATGTTTATTTCCGACGAGACCGAGATCGAAGAGGAAGAGGAGGATGACGAGGTTCAAGATGATGAGGATTGATTGGGTACCTTTTCTTATATCACACACTTCAAATTGGTTCCCTTTTTATATTATATTAGTAGTACTATATTATACTAGTATTCCACACGACGGCAAGCGGGCGTAGGCTTCAACCTATAGAATAACTTTCTTGACCAAAACTAGTTTTAGAAAAGCGAAACTGATGCCTCATGCTATCACAATTAAATCCTTGAAACTTTACGTGTAGTACGATCTTTAACATCGGATATTTTGCAACTCGGACCCGTCGCCCTGCTCCCAAGGATGTTCCTGCTCCACCAATAGTATCAGCTTTTCATGCGCAGCACTCCGGGGCGTGACCTGTAGCTTGAATGGCACCGGATGGCTGATAACCCCAGGCTGGAATTCTGGTTTTACATCCACCTCAGTACCGTCTTCCATGGGTTTGCTAATTTTGAACACCGACAGGGACTTTGCAACACTGAGCCACACTGTGTTGTCTGCCAGAATCCGGCCAGGGCAGATGCGACGCCCAAAGCCGAACACGAAGGTGTGCGGGTCTATTTCTGGGTCTCGGCCATCGATCTCCAAAAAACGGTCTGGCTTGAAGGCCATCGGATCGTGATACAGCGCGGGGTCATGCATCATGCCCCTATTGTGCAAGTTAGAATATTGATCCTATAAACGAGATCATGACAGGCCGATTTCTCGTATATGACAACTCACCAAATATTCGGCATAAGTATAGAACCTTTAGGAATATAATATCCATCGTACATGTCGTCGGCCGTCGACATATGTGGGATCCCCATCGGCAGTGCAGGGTGCCAACGGAAGACCTCCTTTACCACTGCATTAACATAAGGCATGCGATCACGAGCTGCTATCGTGGGAAGTCGCCCAGGCCCGATCACCCGGTCAATTTCATCCTGTGCATTATGCTGCACATGCGGGTTCAATGCCATAGCGAGGAAAAACGTTCCAACTGAAGACACGGTCTAATACATGTCAGCAGCAGTATCAATTATAAAGACGCAGGTGAGTAGCATACAGTGTCGGCGCCAGCGCCATAAAGCGATGCTGCTGTCCACCTGGCAACCAGCTCCTCCTCTGATCCAGAAGATGGAATCCCATTTAACCTAAATATATCGGAGAGGAATGATGGCTCGTACTTCCCATCTTCTGTCCGCTGCTGAACAAGTGCGTAAGGCTTTTTCGCAACATCCTCAAGGTTCTTCCTCCATTCCTGCGCGGTTCGCTTGAAACCAGCGCCCGGAAACCAGGCAGGGACATATTTCACTGGATTGGAATCAGCTTTTATGGTAAACAGATAAGAGGGAAAATGTTCAAGCGCAACTTACATGCCGGTATCAAATCTACAAGCCAAGTACCTGGTGTTGAAGCAATTGAGAATTGCTCAAGGGCCTCATTGGCAAGGTTCACCAGTAGATCTTGGTTGTGCGGCTCAACCCTATAACCATAGGCTATCCTGAGAATAACCGCTCCGGCCTCACTATTTAATCATGTTATTATCTATATCCTGTACTGTGAGTATTGGGGGAATCACTGACGTCTGGATGTGCTGCGTGAGCTTTTCTTGGTCTTTCAAAACACGCCACAAAAAGCGATCGGTTTCCACCTCCTGCAGCCGAGTATACCGTGAAACGACCATCTCTGAACCGAAATATGGTTTTAGTAGCTTCCGATATGCTCTGAACCGTTGGGTGTATGGTTGCATAGATAACGCATGCCCCAACCCACCCTGTTAAGCTGTTAATGTAAGCTCCAATAGTCTATTTGTACTCTTTAGACTTAAAATGGGAAAGGGACTTGTAAACTTACATTTCAGATGCGAAAACCATATGCGGTCGTGACGAGTACAGCGAGGCGCGTTTGCGTAATAGCTCTGACGCTGTCCGTGTATCATTAAGGATTACGAGCGTCTGTCCCATCACCGTAACGGAGCTGATGGGCCCTACGGCCGCCTTTCCATATTAGCAACAAGAAAAGAAAGATAACAGTCAACCGTAGCTTCTTGAGCCTACCATATAGGTCTTTATGCTTTAGCCAATGCATCCAATCTTGCACACCTGGAGGCGGCAGGTCGGCAATGTTACCCACGATTGGCTTAGGCTGTGGGCCTGGGGGCAGTGGTCCTAGAGGTATTTTGCGTCTCACCCATATTCTCGTGATAAGAAAAGTGAGCAGTCCCAGTATAGCGTTCAAGAGTGCCTTGAATGACATGTTGACAGGCCACAAAATGTAAATGTGGGAATTGGAGAAAGGAAAATGAAAGTCCTAATCACACATGAGTACGGGCCCACTTGTGGCTGCTTTGCTCATATTAGTCTCTGGTGCTTTTAGCCTTGTGCATCACACGGCGCTCATGCACCCCAAGGTTGTACTTTCGCCGAGGACGTCATTCAATGGTCGCCGAACGAACCACAAGCCTCCTATATCTGCTATGCATCCCCGAAAGGCCTCGACCCCTTTTTCGAAGGCCGTGAAGCGAACGGATCTGCTACTGCCAAACAATTAAGTTAGACCGCATTTGCCCCTGTACGAATATGACGGCTTAGCGAAAGCAAACTTATCGGGGCACTGATCTGCGAAGATGTCAATCCGTGCCAAATCAATGCTCAATCATTGGCTTTTTCCCCTTTGGGCTATCCAGCTGACGCTAGAGTAGCAAGATACTCCACATGCATTCGATATCATGGCAGCAAGGGCAAGACTCCATAAAAGACACTTACGGATGCCAAAGCCGGCTGCCGCTGGCGTTTTCATTGGTTGACTTTGCTTGACCCACCCGTGGTGAACCAAAGGGATGGCAGTGCAGAAACCAGTCAGAAACCAGTCAGAAACCAGAGTACAATATAATTGTACCTGTGGGGCCTCCGCAGTGGGGCCTGTGATCTTCCGTGTTGGCACAGCTGGCCATGTGGGAGCCACACGGCTGGAACGCAATGTTGATGTCGTGGTCAGGACACATCTATAGAGTATCGCCTCTTGAAAGGTCGGGGTTTATTGGTATTTGCTATGGGGCCACTTGGACTTTTCTACAGCCTATGCTAAGTTTTCTACCCCTGATCAGCGCTCATATCATATTTGCTTTCGTTCTATTAGACACAACGTGCCCATACTTAGCGTGTCGCTTGAAACTTAGAATTGCTCCAGAGAACTGAAGCGCGGCGATATAAGCATGAAATTTCGATGCAAAGTGACATATCACGGTGTCGATACTACCAATTCTACCACTGCCAGTCCTCTTACTTTCTTTCTTCACCAATGTCTTCCGTGACGAATTAAGTTATCAATTAAATCGACGGGTTCAGGGTGGCAGCGAACAGTGGATTCCCTGCAGATATGGTGATTATTGTCCCAGTTTTGTGAATGATCAATCTTCTAAGATTCACGTTGCTCAAAGTGAAGACTTTGTATGTCTCCATCCGAGTGAAAGCTGGGAAGGGTCATTCACCTTGGATGATGAGCTCTGGGAGTTCCCAGATCTTCTCAGAACTGGGGCAATCTTCCGATTTGCATTTAAGGGCGTAACGATTGAGTGGCGGGATTGGGGCACTAAAGATGGGACCCATGCTGATACTGTCGTGACTTCTAGGGGGTATGGTCAAAATACGAGATTGGACTTTACAGATGATAATAACGGTGGCAGACCTCAAATCGTTGTTCCCTCTTCCAGCGAGATAGAGCTAGTTCTTGCAGATTAAACCGCTATTATTGTTTTAATAGATCTCTGGAAATACATATGTGAATAAATATTGCAATGAATCTTTTTCCAACGAAAGCAAAAATCCAGCAATCGTAAAATAGCATAATTGAACCTTAAGGACAAGGGCTCCCTTCCCCCTGATAGGGAATGAGTTCTGCCATTAGTACGCCTCTAAGTAATATAGCAAATAGTCGCCTGGCCAATGGAAAATGCGAGATAATCCACAGCTAGCCATCCGATCTGTCGATACCATTCCACAAGAGGAGAATCAAAGAATGCGGGGATGCGGCTTGATGGCCACAGGACCCGGAAGAACCATGATGCACCAAGAAGAGCGAAGACAACAGCTTGAGTGGCAAGTGTGCGAACACTCAAACAAAGCGATTCCTCTCGTAAACTGTGACGAATTTGAATGATAAATGATGCAGTAATTAAAAACGTCATGCCGGGAACCTGTTAGACCATTCATACTAGCGTCAGAAAGAAGTACTCACGTATGTTGTTCCGATGATTTTGTCTGCGGTTCGCTCTACTCAATAAGAAAAGTAGCTTCGGCGACTGAGCCAATCCACCAAGGATATAACGAGAATTGGTAGTTACTCCAGTCGATACTAATGCTATTGTTGTACTCGGTAGCAGCGATCTCGTTTGTCGCGATAACAGTTAGCTTATATTAGTGATTGTAACTGAGAAAGGTAGTGGTCCATGCAATACAGTAACGCCCTAATTAGAAATATCGTATTAAGAACCAAAAGATCAAAATTACAGCGCAACTCTAAGTTTCAGCGCAATTTTTACCAAAACCTTCGTCATGTACAAGTCATTTGATATGATCAAACCACGGGCTCACTAAGCACTCACTACCTAGGTAAATACTGTGAGCTGCTCAGTCATCAGCTTTCTCTTCCCTCGGCGTGCTAGGGCAGACGCTCCAACTCCAGTAACTACCAAAACGCCTGTCCTGAGCAGGATGCTCACAATGAGGAATCCTCTGAGCCACGTATAAGCCGACACATGCTGGACCAGCTCGGTATCAACAATGTGCCAACCTGCGCCACAAAAAGCCAGACAGCAACCATGTCCGTCTCCGAGACTATCTGATTTCGCTGGACAATCAGCTCCACCCAGAGGATCAACGGCCATGCAAATATCAGCATCGCAATTGTCCCCAACGGGATAGCAGGGTACCTGCGACAGTACCACGGAATCCTACGGGCACGCTCGGCGTCTACACCCCCAACGAGAACCAAGTACCCGGCCACAATAATCGTGTTTAACACTACAATCGAGTCTCCAATCTGCCAGAGCAGAGTGAAAATATGCCAGCCGTAACTCAAGGTCCTCCACCCGAAGAAGAAAAATTGATAGTCGCCGAATCCTTCTGGCTGGTTCGTAGCCCAGCTTACCCACGCACAGACAGTATTGAGAATGAGCACCCCGATCGTGCCGACGGCGAGGAGGACGCTCAGGAAGAGATTGCCCGACGAAATGCCGCCTAGGTAACTGATCGCGTAGATCAAGTTAAAGTGGACTGGGAGGAGGGAGAGCGCATGGAGCTTTCTCGCCTTGACAGCCTGGTACCATTGGATTTGCGTGTACCAGTTGTAGGCGAGGAAGCCCACGTTCGTGGGGACATTGTTCCCCACTCCACCGGCGAACTGGGCGGGAGCGAGCATCATACTGGCGTAGAGGAGCCATCGGTTGGTGAGACTGAAGCCTTGGACGACTTGGTTGGCGGGCATGCTTGGTCTGCAGCGCTGGTGCCAGGCTTAGAGCTAGTCACGTATAAGCAGCGTACCGGTCACTTAATGAGAAGGTCGATATACCAGAGCAGGAGAAGGAGAGGTAGAGATCCGTCCCGTCCTTTTGGTAGAAGGTAGTATATATATGCTCTATATATTCTTTGAGTACGCGCAACGCTCCAGAAAATAGATGATCACTATATAGGAGTTGAACTGGTTTAGACAACGAGGCTACCGCAGCGGTAGAACTCCAGTTATACTACCCATGCGCCAGGGATGTGATAAAGTAGCTAGAGAGGCAGTGCAGTGGGGCTGAAAGACTCGATACAGAGATCATATGGTCAATACGAGGCAGGCATTCGCTGGCCAATAAATGCCGAGCAAGTTCGCACAGTCTGGATTGGCTCGGACCCTAACAGCACTCCCGAACTCTATCTTCAGGAGTATCGTAGCCAACTGCGTAGAATTAATACAGCCATGGCCAAATCCGGGGCGCGGCGATGGATCTACAAGAGAGGTCACGTCTCCGCGTACTCACCTAGGTGAAGTAGCCATTTAAAGCTGGAGAAACGGTGATCGATGTACACCTACGATAAGGTACTTAAGGCTAAAATGACGTGCTCCGTAGTCATGGCCATGTGCCCTGGAAAGGGTGTGGGAAAGGAAGGGCATAGTTAAGGAATGAAAGGGGCCGCTCAGGTGCTCAGCGGGCAGCTCAGGGCCAGTCTGTGCTCTAGAGCCGATCGCATGTACTCGGGGACTGGTGTGGTCGATCACTGGGTCAAGGTACCTGTCACAGCCAACGCGAGGTACAGGTGGCAGTAAACCTATTTAATATTTATAATAGGAAGTATTAGCGGTTTGTTAGACAAAGGTTGACTGTCAATTGTGAAAATGTCAAATATGCCCGACTAAAGTACGTGATGTGTACTATTGTCGCCTAAGTGCGGTGAAAATCATGCCAATAGCGACCTCTGTCTCGTAGTTATACTGGCAGGCTGGAAGGCCTGGTCTTTCGCTTCCTTTTATTGATTCATCCTCTCGCTTTCCTTCTGGCCTTTATTCGAATAATAGCGCACGTACTAAGTACCTGCTAATGAATCACACCACTAATTCAGTTGTTCTTTTCGTCCCGTAAAAGCCTACGAGCAAAACTATGTCCCACTCTCCTCCCCTCAAGTCCCAGCAGATTTCGATCCCTATCTCTACTCCGACAACTGTTTCCTGTTGAGTAGTTATGTCTACCGACTCAACCTCGTGGACTACCGTCCGACTTGCCTCAGCAGCAAGAGGAACCAGGCTATAGCGTATTCTTATGGGGCGTATACTAGTGTTGGAAAGCTGGGTTTTTACGACCGAGTTATGATAGAGTTACAGAGCGAGAACTAAAACCTCAGGATCGAAGCCCAATTAAGCATGTGTTCATTATCAGAAAGGCTGTAAGGGCTATTGGATCAACGACTGAGATCCGACTATGAGATGTGGACAAAACTTCTACTATATCAGATTCAACAGTAACTTTGCAGTACTCCCCAGAACCAAATCACCTTAATCAACCACTTCAAATGACTCTCTAGTTGCTTGGTAGATGGCCGTAGCCGATCTCTGGTACAGCCTCAAGCTCATTTTCCGATGGCCATGTCTTTGTGCTATGTTGCCTTTCGAGTCCATCTTCTCTCCATGTGTTGCGCGCACAAATTTAAAGCTTACTTATTATTTCTATCAATCCCATCTATTCTAGATTATATATATATATATATATATATTTTTTCTGCTCTACGAGCTAAAAGACTAGTAAATGGCATAGCGGTAACAAACTACATATGTATTAACCTTCTAGTAATTACGTCCTAAACTTCGGTAAATACTACCATTTACCCTGCGAGTATGGCATTCCCCTCGAGTTCTAATAAAGTGAAACAGCCCACTTCAAGACTTGAAAGTAAAACACTGAATCAATTGCAGTCCAAGTTGACCCTTTTATACCTCAGGCGGTGTCGATCCACCCCCACCCCTGTTTCCGCACTCCAACTCCAATCCCCAGGAACAACTCGACTCACCACAACAATATGCTCTCGGGGATCCTCATATTCAATCAGAAGGGCGAAAACCTCATTTTTCGCGCCTTCCGCAGCGATTGTCGTCCGCGCCTGGCCGACATCTTCCGCATTCAAGTCATCTCCAATCCCCAGGTGCGCTCGCCGATCCTGACCTTGGGCTCGACGACCTTCAGCCATGTCAAGCACGAGAACATTTACTTGGTAGCTGTGACCAAGAGCAACGCCAATGCCGCGCTGGTTTTCGAGTTCCTCTACCGGCTGGTCATGCTGGGCAAGAGCTATTTCGGGAAGCTCGACGAGGAGGCCGTGAAGAATAACTTCGTCCTGATTTACGAACTACTCGATGGTAAGACCTGAGAAAGGACCAATGGCGTCGAAGCAGACCCTAACAATTGATCCAGAAATCCTTGACTTCGGATACCCCCAGAACACCGATCCAGATACCCTGAAAATGTACATCACAACCGAAGGCGTCAAATCCGCCATCGCCAACTCCCCAACCGACTCCTCCCGAATCACCCAACAAGCAACAGGCGCGATCTCCTGGCGCCGCTCCGACATAAAATACCGCAAAAACGAAGCCTTCGTCGACGTAATCGAAGACGTCAACCTCCTGATGTCCGCAACAGGCACCGTCCTCCGCGCCGACGTCAACGGCCAGATCGTCATGCGCGCCTATCTATCCGGCACGCCCGAATGCAAATTTGGTTTAAACGACCGCCTCCTCCTCGACACCGGCGAGTCCTCCAGCAACATGAACAACCCGGGCGGCGGCAACGGCCTCAGCACCTCAAAGACCACGCGCGCCGCAGCAGGGTCCGTCACGCTGGAAGACTGCCAGTTCCACCAGTGCGTGAAGCTGGGCCGGTTCGACGCAGACCGCATCATCTCCTTCGTGCCGCCGGACGGCGAGTTCGAGCTGATGCGCTACCGCGCCACCGAGAACGTCAACCTGCCCTTCAAGGTGCATCCGATTGTGCGCGAGATCGGTACCACAAAGGTCGAATATAGCGTTGCTATCAAGGCGAATTATAGCTCCAAGCTCTTCGCGACGAATGTCGTTATTCGCATCCCCACGCCGCTTAATACTGCCAAGACTACGGAGCGCACGAGCCAGGGTCGCGCGAAGTACGAGCCCGAGCAGAATAATATTGTCTGGAAGATTGCGCGCTTCTCCGGGCAGTCGGAGTATGTGCTTAATGCTGAGGCGACGCTTACGACTATGACGCATCAGAAGGCTTGGAGTCGGCCGCCGTTGAGTCTTTCGTTTAGTTTGCTTATGTTTACCTCTTCTGGTTTGCTGGTGCGCTATCTTAAGGTCTTTGAGAAGAATAACTATAGCTCTGTCAAATGGGTGCGCTACATGACTCGCGCAGGGAGCTACGAGATTCGGTATGTGTTCTATCTTTTGCGCTGGTTATGGTTTTGTTGCTGACTCAATTGCTTCATTTAGATTCTGATCGTGCTTGAAATTCTGAGGTAATTTTGGTTGGGAGAGAACCCCAACGAGCAGTGTTGATATCGATGGACTTGAGCCCGGTTTCATCTTGTCATTTTTACTTTGCGCAGCACAATTGGTGTCTGGCGTTGGATGGACACATACATGGATTTTTCACAAGTATCCAATTCTGCATTTCCCGTACCTTGATTATATGCTTGTAGGCAGGTTTGAGGTTGTATAATAGCATGTTTCACTCAGCTCTGGGTGTATCTAACCCTTGTGGTATCCATGGGGCCAGATAAAAGCCTGGCTCTACCAACTGAGCCAACCTTGGGAGAGAGCTGGATAGTCAAAACAATAAGATACGATGAGACGAATGTAACACTACAAAGTTACTATCTTGAAGTTGGAGTAATAGATAATGATAAATAAGTCAAGTCGATAGTGGTATGTAGATAGTAGTACAATTGGAACAAACGACAGATGTGGAAGAGTAAGTGACACAAAATGAACAGTATATCAGCAGGAAAGCAATCAGAAGCATATTCACATAGCCCGAGTAGAACGGAACCCACAACACCAAAACAAAAGCAATTTGTGCTGGTCAATAGACAACCCGAAAAGAAAAATGAACAGTCTCACAAATACAAGAAGGTATGATAATACAGGGGTGTTTGACAAAGAAATCAAGCCAAGTCAGGCCAATAGGAACAGGGTCAGTCACAGGGTACAGGTACAGAGATCATATAATACATTAATAAAAGACGGTAATAATTGCAGTACGCAATGTTCAACACCGACGCGGACGCAGGCCAACACGACCCTCACCAACGAGGGACTGCCACCTGGACCCGACATGGCTGCGACCCATTTGGCGCGCGCACTCATCCCATTCTTGTTGGGAGAGGCGGAATTTCTCGAGGACCAGCTCGAGAAGACGCTCGTCTTCTTCGGCGGTCCAGTCTTGTGGAGCCGAAGGGATATGTTCCTCTGTTACCTCGATGGAGGGCAGAGGCGCGTCTGGGTCGGGTGAGCCAGCTGGGATGTCATAGTCCACGCGGCGACGAGGCGGAGAGGGAGGAGATTGGGTGACAGGAGGAGAGTGTAGAGAGTAAAAGTCTGTAGAGGAAAGGCCGAGAGGCATATTGTAGGGAACGTGGCGACGGCGTTTGGGAGTCGCGAAGCGGTTGCGCCGACCCGTTTCCGCGTCGCTGTCATCGTCATCGAGGATGTCGCGGCGGCGCTTGTTTGCGCCGCGGGCGGGTGCAGATGGAGGGGGGAGGGGGTGTGAGAGCGGCGGTTCTGGGTGGTGGTGTTTGTCTGGGAGAGGCGGGTCGGACGGTCTTGTGTGATCGTGGCGAGCGACGAGGTGTGTTGAAGGGGATGGGGCTCTGGAGGCGTTGGGATTTCACTGATCGCGATGAAGGTGTGGGCGATCTGTTGAGTAGAGATTGTAGTGCGCGACAGGTGCCGAGGAGACCGTTGCCCGATGGGAACCCTGTGTCGGATGGGGAGGAGTTGAGAATAGGCGACTGGGGGTGAAGCGAGACGACCGGCGCACATCGCATGGGAGGGCGGATGGAAGTAGCATGATTGTAGATATAAATTTAATGGGCGACTTGAGTGGTTTGAAGTTGGTTTGAAGATGAATGATATCAAAGAAAGAGAGAGAGTCAACGAGTTGCGCGGGCGCGCGATTTGTGGGTAGGCTGCGATTGCGCCGGAGGCGGTTTCGATGCGCGACGAGGGAGTTGGGGATGCGAAAACGAATGAATTAACTTGTCGTTGAAATGCGCTTCGATTTCCACCTTTTCCGGGGAATGCGACAGCGTGGTGATATAAATGTTTTTGGGCAGCGAGTGTGTAGGGGAGAAGAAGTTGGAGGGGAAATGCGATAAAAGAAAATTGGGGCCGCAAACGGTCAAGCGAATGATCGTGCAACGTCAAGTTTATTTCCGGTCACAAAGAATGTGTTTCTATTAATGATTTCTTAGGTTCAAGGTTCTTTTTTGATGAGACAGTTCAAGGACTTGAAACAGATGGAAAAAAAGAAGGGATTGAGAGAGATATCTCAAGGGTCAACGAAAGTGAGTGTGATGATGGGAATACTAGATAGGAACAGGAATGCCGTTCTATTATACTTGAACTACAGAGTACTTGATGAACTTGCAACTATAGACCAGTGAAACAGTATACTAAGGAGTCTAGGATAAGAGGGACTACATGCAAGGCGCATACAAAGAGAGCCCTGGAGAGGGCAACAGGCACGAGGCACCCCTGAGACACTTTTTTTCAATTACATTTCCTATTCGGGCAACAGCCCTGGAGATCCCCTGCACTCGAGTTTCTTTGTATTTCAATGTTGTACTCCGTATCTGGAGTAGTAGATCTGGATTGTATTGTATTGCAATGGAATTAAAGCCTGTAACGTCAATGGCGTTGGTCTGCATAGGTATCAAAGCACAGCCCTGTTAGACGCGCTAGGTCATACCTAGCTACGATATTCTTTGATTTCCTGATCTCCATCTTCGCCACTGGGGGAAGTCGCGTTTTAATAATGATTTGAAAGAGGGTGAACGTTCCCTTCCTACTGTTCTCCTACCCTTCTTCTACCCTTCACCAGCCCAGGAGATGTGTTCCCTGCCATACCAGCCCTCTAGGGCTCTAGGACTAGTAGTACCTTTAAACACTGCTACATGTATGAACCTCCTCTTAGACCTTTAGATATCGTAGCGGAATGGTACTCCGTAGAATGGTGGCTTTCAAAATTTTCAACGCGTTGACGCGTTTCGCGTTTCGCGTCGCGCGACGTGCCGCGCCAAGACTCTTGGGCACATGTGCCCTAACAACGTACAACATACTGTATGGACGATATTCTATCAATGGAGTACAGCATGTACGTGAATAAAGAGTACTGCAGTACTGCTCGTGGGTCAATGCTTAGAATGCCATGTGCCCAATAGGATCAACCAGGGTCATCCCACCGGGGGATTTTCTATACTGTACTGTAAGAAACTCCCACCACCCTTGCTTCTCCTTACAGGGGTTACTCAGGCCAACTCGTGCAAAGATACGGCTTGCATTATCTTGCAGAGCTCTGCATCTTCCACACTGTGGGGTGCAGACTGGCTGCACACTGCGGGCCGACAAGTCCTCTACAGGTCTATAAGACATAGACTCATTGCTCTGCTCATTACAGAATACTACAATGTACATACAGTTTGATAGATGATATTCCATTCGTGTCAATTGAAAAGGGGTGCCTGCTCCTTGGAATCCAGCTTAACTAGAAGGGCTAGCAGGGCCACTAGACCCATGACTATTCAGACGGCCCTAGTCCTATCTACAATACCGAGTGGAGAGCCTTCGGAGTACTCTGAGCCTCCATTCCAAGACCCGTGCTCCCAGCCACAGATCGAAATCCAATCTCATGCAAGGGGTAGCCCCAGGATGAAACTGCTCCCACCGAGGATCATTGATTATCACAAGGTTAGGCTTCAGGAACTTAGGACACAGAGAGGCATGTCATCAATAGTACAACGCAATATACACCAAACCTAGAATGGATGAAAGTTTCCAATTTCCAGGGCGATTCTCGATTCTCTCCTACCTAGGTATCTATGGATGCTATCTAAGCTTCTCCTGCAGTGGCGGTAATGCAAGACATAAGCCCCTTCCCACGGGCCTTGATGTCGATCATATCTCCACATTCTTCTGATCTGTTCGTGCCCTAATGTGGCTGGGACTCTACTTGCCCCTCCAGGCCCCGCCTTAGAGCTTATAGGGCAAGATACAAGGTTTCACAGGTTCACCTTGATGGCCTCATCGTCTCAGACATAGCTCAATATAGATCCCTTGGTTGTTCTCTTGCCCCATCACTCTCTCCCTGTCTTAATTTCTGGCCAAACATGTGTGCTTCAACTGACGATCATTTCTCTAAGGTCCAGGTCTTTTACTCCATACACTCTTGCTTTTCTTTTCTTTTTCGAGAGTAACATTTCAGCTGATAGGGCGCTGTGATTGGGTCTAGGGGTTGTGTTATATTGCCTTGTCCCAGGATAGATACCGGAACCCTTGCGAAAGAGGACCTATAGAATCAGATCAGGCTTTATGTACCGTAGCTTTTCAACGTTTCAATAGCGATCCAAGAAGCGCTTGCCTTGCAATACTAGTCTACCACTCTTGCAAACCGAGTCCATCTACGCTGGGCCTCCCCGTCGCTCAACCACCCATTCATTGGCCTGAAAGTGAGACCATCTATCCAGTTTTGCTCCCGATCAACACTCCCTATTTCTGTAATGAGTTCCCCTCCTCCCCACTTTTCTTATCCCCCTGCCAGGCTACCCTCACAGTCACACGATAAAGACCCGCTATCCTTTTTCGGTGACTACTAACCCTACCCGAGACACAGGGATAAGAATAAAGAGGCTACCGAAGTAGAAGTGGGCTCACTACACTGGACCCTGGCTTCTTAGTGCCCAATAGTCAGTGGAAGCCCCTCTATCCTTGTCCGGTGGTCCTAGCAAGCGCTATTTTTGCCTTCACTCGCTCTCCTGTCCCTCTGTAGGCCGCGGCCCATATGCCCGAAGGACCAAAAACTATTGCCTGCGTAACTTGCTTCCTAGGGATGGCCATTCAGTGACTTCTCGTTCTGCTGAGTATTATCCCCAGTGACACTGGTGTTATTAGCTCCCGAACCTTTGATACTGTTTGAAAATAGGGAACTCCTGGGTTTATTGCTGCGCAAAACAATAGCGAGGAAGAGAAAGAGATGCTAAAGATGAATATGAATAATATTTTCTTCGCCCAATGGCAAACCCGGAGCCAATATCTACTTAGGAATGGAATATTCATGGCCGTAGTCACGCCGTCAAAACTTCAATGCTCAAAGGGTATACAAACAAAACCTCATTGACCCTGCATTCTCTTGAAGCGCTCCTCCGCCGCTCTCGCTCTGCGCTCTCTCTCCAATCGCATCTTCATCTCCGGCGTCATGCCTCTAGTCTCCTCATCTCTCCTTTCAGCCGCAGACTTCTCAACAGCGCCTACAGTACGACCGCCGGATTTAGTCGTTCTCGGCTGCGCCGCCTTCTCGGCCTCTTCGCGGTTCAGACGATCCAAGCTAGCCTTGCGCCGGGCGGCTTCTTCCTCCTCGGCTGTTTTGCGTTCTTTCTCGGCTCGGCTTTCGGCCTCAGCTTTAGAGACCGCTGACGGAACCTTGGCTGCTTCCCAGTCCCATTGTGACTCGCCGAGATCGTGGCGGGCAACACGGAAGGCGTCGCGAGTGGCTCGGTCGCCGGTGAGTTCGAATGGGGTTCTGCCTTCGTTGTTGATTGCCGTTGGGTCAGACCCGGCTTTTGTGAGGAGGGCCGTGACTACGGCTGGTGCATTGAGATTTGCGGCGAGATGGAGGGGTGTGGGACAGCGGAAGTTTTGTGGCGAGTCGGCGGGCGTAAAGGTGAAAGAAGAAGGTATGGAGTTGTTTGAGATATAGGACATGAGGGCGGGAACCTTTGAGCGGCGAATAAGTGCCTGCAGTTGGGATGTGTGCAATAAGGCAGCTTCCTCTTCTTTCGAGAGTTTCGGCTTCTGTGGTTGCGGTTTTGGGACAGGAGTAGATGGTTTTGATTCTTCCTCTCGCCTCTTAGCTTCAGCCGCAGCCAGTGCGGCTTCATCCACCTCGCTGACCTTCACGCGGGTCAACTCCTTGAAAGACCGCATGAGCTCCCCTTGAGTCGCACGGCGAGTATTAAAGGGGAACCCTCGTAGTCGGGGGTCGTTCTGTCTGAGGACCTGTCCGTCATATTGACCGAAAAGGGTCTTTCGATTTGTCTTTCCTGTAGCTCGGACGAACAACAGCTCGGCTGTATCAATCATCTCTTTCCAATCCGACAAAACCTCTCTGATATCCTTCTCAAGTGCAGCCTCATTGTACCGGCGCAGACTTGAACCTGCAGAATGGGCAGCACCGCGCGACGCATCACTGGCAGATTGCGAGCCACCCTGCTTTCGCCGCGTCGTGTATCGGTGGAACGTTTTGTGCGCAATGACTCGAGCCTGTCTGTCTTCAACTCCTCCTTGCTTTCGGTGGATCTCTGGCGCTAGCGAAACCAACATAGCCGCAAAGTGGCCACCGCCGATCATGCACATGAAAATATGCGGGCCCGAAGCAGCGGGTTCTTGCACGTTGCTTGCCTTGTTGGTGCGCGCTTTGATAGGCGCCAGCTGCTTCCGTCGTAGAGTGTCAACTAGGTGAGCGGGTTCGTCCTGCTCCTCATTTGAGAAAATGGCCCTGTAGACACCTAGGGACTTATTTGATGGCAATCCCGAGCTAGACAGCCAGAATATGGGATGCTTCGGCGTGATCGGTGTCTCAGTCATTTCCGGGTCCTCATTCGGGTGAGAGAGCTTAGCCTGCTTTTTCAGCAGGGCGGACAGCGCTGTGCCCGCGGCCCCCTCTGAATCCTCCTCCTCTGTCTCCGAGGACTCAGAACCGGATATAGACTCATCTAGCTCTCCGATAGCCTTTGCAAATTCGATTTCCTCCAGAGGCGCATTCCCGCGCAGCTGGGCTTTGATGTTATACCGGTGATGGTCCGAGCGGACATGACTGCGTTGTTCCTGTACACTGTTGTAAGAGACCCTGCAGAGGGAGCATAGGTTGGATGTTGCGATCGCGGAGTCCTGCGCCGCTAGTTCGAGGTCTTTGGAAGAGGGTTCGGGGACTTGTTCGGCGACAGGTTGGCTTGTGGTCTTGGCCGTTAAGCTGGCAAGAAGTTCTGGCGGCAGATCGTAAACTGGAAAGATCAGCGGATTGGATCAACGGCGATATGGGGTTTCGGAGGCGTACCATAGAGAGGCCTTTTCAAGAGCTCCTCCATTTGAGTCGTGTCGACCATGATGGGCTGGGCGAAGAATGTGTATTGAGATCGTGGTGCCCCTCCAATGACGCTGATAAGTGGGCTCTTACCGCCTAAGAGCAATGCGGGTACTACAATGTTGTAGGACTTTCTTCGCTTTGTCGCGTTTATGTCTATGTTGTAGATGCTGAATTTGCAATCCCTTTTTTTTGTGTCATATTCTGAACCTTTACTCAGCCCCTTTTGCGTCCTCGAGAATGTTCTTTTTCCTGTGAGTAATTCTAAACTTGCTGTGCCACAACGAGTCGGCCTCCCAATTAGGAAATTACACCCACTCCTGTATCCTTGGTATTGTATTTCACGTATTAGCGCATCATTCCTAACAAATACTCTTTTCACTACATACCTACATGTAGGTAGCCATCTTTCTATCTACTTTGTTTACGCCTTTTGCCTTTCAAGTACCTGTTGTTATCACGTGATTTGAGAGCGAGAGGCAACATTATGACGTACTTTTTACACTTGCCCTAACTTCAATGTTGTTTATTCTTCTTTTCCTTTGCTTCTCCTCTACTTATTCCGGTTGGTCGTATTAGCCAATGCCTCGTCGGTAAGTGCCCAAGGAGCTGTAATATGCGGGAGCCAGAAGTCTTGGTAAGTAATCAACTGGTCCTCTACCCACAAACGCCAACGACCAATCTGGAGGCCCGTGGATTTCGAGTCATACGCTGTAGTGAGCCTTGCGTAAGAAGGATCTATCTCCAAAATGGCTCTTCCTGCAATTCCTGGCTCCTGACTCGATGCCTGCCGACTCGTACGTGTATAACCCAGGATAATTCCATTCCCACCTGAACCGGGAACAATGCTTGCTATCTTTTGCACGAGATCTTGGACACGCGTTTGATATCTGAGTGTGGTGGAAATTCCAAAGTTTTGTCTATCCCAATCAGTAGTGAAGGGTGTGAGGACGAAGACTTTGGGTGCGTAAATTGTATTCAAGACACCGGGGTTCTGGTCAGTCCCAATCAGACCAGTTACACTTTGTGCATATTCTGTTCCGTCTCGGAGGGAATTGAACACATTTATCGTGAACGAGTTGTCATCAGTTGGATTGAAATCACGATCAACGAATACGGGGTTTTCCCAGATGTGGGCAATGTACACACCCTTTTCGGATACTATGATCACTGCCGTGCACCCGTATATGCCCTTTACCCCTACAGCTGAGGGACCGGATGATGGATATTCAAACCATTGCGCAGACACTGGTCCAAGCTGATCAATCCAAATTGGTGCCAAGCTCTCGACATAAGCGCTGTGAGGAGGAGAAGCGTCCCGGGAAGTATATGCAATCAACGAACTGACCATCCTTCTCTCATCTTGGCCACTAGAGAGACTTGCCTTGGAGGCAGGCTGTGTTGGACCTGTGACTTCACTCGTTGCAATTTCATACCTCTCAGCTGGTTGAATAGTGGTAATACCCTCTGAGATCAATGCAGAATGCTCAATTGTGGCCATCACTCCGATGTTAGTACTGCCCAGAGGGTCTATGCTCACGGAGCTTGACTTTTGGTAAGCATCGGAAGGACATAGTATTTGAGTATCACCTGTTGAGGTGAAGCTGAAAGCTGTAGTAGTTGATTCTGTGACGGAGTATCCAATAATGGTAGCAGTAGTTGTGGGTGAGCTGGTTGTTGTGGGAACAGTGGTATTGTCAATGAGATCCTCTAGGGTGTCGACGGCTAATGGCTTCGGCATCATCCGCATCGATATCGTCTTAAGCTCAAAGTTCTCGTCGAGACAGGAAAATGTGTCTGCGATGGCCCCAACAGAGCCCATTAAACTTCTCTTTTTCTTTGCACCACATTCCGAGGACGACAAGGGATCACTCAGATTGTGAGACTTCCAATCCCACTCTAAGCACTTTTCGCTTGACCAAGAGTTAATGATCTGAGTTGAATCGAAGATCGCAATGTGCGAAGACACGGTAAACACATTCAATGCTGCTTCGGAGCTTTGGATATTGCAACTGGTAAAGCTTTATTGGGAAAGGGTATGATGGTCCTGTTGGGAGGGGTTTTGTCAGAGGGTTACTAGACTCGGTGGTCATAGAAGATGCCAATTTTTCCCACCCACAGTAGCGGCGGCTATTATTCCTGGACTGTAGCAATGTGGTAAATGTTATATGGAGAAACATGTGTACTTGCTACTCAAGCAAGTATGTGGTGGGTGGAATTGTAGAGGAAGCAATGGTATTGATTTTCCTATTCGAACAATGTAGATTCCCATTCAATATCTCTGATTCTGAGAGAAGAATTGGTGGGTGAAGACTTTGTAAGGGTAAAGGGCAAGGTGTGATTCTGTGGCATTGATACCCAAAGAGGTAATTATATGATGGTGACTAGGCTATCACATTGAAAGAGCTGTGCGCAGTGCTGCTGGGGACAATGACAACAAAGCTTGTTTGCTTGGGCTTAGATACAATAAGATTGTGAGCTTTGTTCTAAACATCACCTCCTATCACTAAAATATGATAGACTTTCCGTATAGTCAGCTCAGTTTTTCTTTTGACGGTAAAGAGTAGGCCATTAGATTCAGGAATGGAAGGTCTCTATTTTTCCTGTCTTCCCGGTAAGATTTTGGTCCGAAGGTCGATTAAGGAATAAAATAAGACTCGAGTCATTCAGAGTGAAGAATGGTTAATGAACTGATGCTTCGATCTTCAAGGCGCGTACATACTCCAATTAACTCATAATATTGGCTTTTCCTATACTTGATCTGTGAGCACATTTTCGAATCTGTGTATATAGGATATCACATGACTGGCATCGCAAGGCCCATGCGTCTCTTTGGCATCAATCTCCCAACCCGTTGACTTTGGCAAAAGTTAATATATAGGAGACCAGAATTTATAGGAGACCAGAATTTATCATCGCTTTTGGCAACATGTCTTCACAACGGCAGCGTCAACAGCAGCTAATGCTTGATGCACGCCGACATCAAATACAAATGATGGCTGCTAAGCAACAACCAAACACCAGCAGCAGCAGCAGCAGCAACAACAACAACAACAGTGACACTCCGCGACAGCAAATGCAGCCTCAGTCAGGGATAATGGGATCCAAATATGATGATTTGCCCATACTGGAGCCCACTGATGTTATCTTTATCTGTGAAAATCCTGTGTCGGTTGGTCTAGTTCCCGTCTTCTTGGGGCCCTTTGAATCCGCCTGCCAGCACGGCCCGCCCTACATCATTCAGTCCATTGTCTCATCTAATAATCTGACACCTGCTTTTCTTCACCATGGTCTCACACGTGCCCTACGCTCTGGCAATATTGAGGTTGCTCATTATCTCCTCGATCGTGGCTCACCCATTGTTCGCGAAACTCCAAGCAATATCTTCTGTGTACCCTTGGAACGACAAATTGCTCTCTTTGAGCTTCTTACCCAGTATGAATGGACCCCCAACACCCCAGGTTACTATGGTAGTACTCTTCTCCCTCGGACTATCAAGAGCCCCCCCTCTTCTTCGTTGGTTTCTCGACCATGGGGCCAATCCCAACCTTGGCGTGCAGAAAACCACCCATGACAGGTGTGGTGGACCAGATACTTCCTCATGTGCTGCACTCGAGGCAGCTGCAATTCATGGAGGTGTTGAGGCTGTGTGTATGCTTTTAGATGCAGGTGCTAAGATTCAAAACGGTGTACCACTACACTATGCTGCAGGGGCTTGTCCTCCCGGTACGAATCCACATGCTGGGCGTGTGGTCCCGAGCCGGGAATTTGATACCAGCAGGATTCCAGTAATGGAACTACTGGTTGCTCGTGGGGCTGATGTTAATCAGAAAGAAGAGTCCCGACACATGGTCGCACAGTACGCGATTGTGTATGCAGTCATGGCAGGAGCAGTTGAGCGAGTTAAGTGGTTGTTAGAGCATGGGGCAGATCCATATAAAAGAGGAAGCTGGGGTAGCGCAGCCGAATATGCACGTACCTCGGGGAATGAAGAGATATCAAAGGTCATTGAGGAATATACTAAGGGCAACGATTGATGTCTAAAAGTTTTATATAGCCCATACCGAGAAATATATATTGCTATCTCGATTCGGAAATTGTTACTTGTGGCAAATAAAGGATACCAATTTTTTTAACATTATTACTACTAGTATATATAAAATAAACGATGGACACATCAATGTTGACCAGCATTACAAACAGTTCTCGAAGCCATCAACCTTTCCCAAAGTTCCAAAGTTGGAATCCAACGCCGATAAGAAATAGCCGCATCGGTCTTAGTGCGCTTATCCCCAAGGATTACGTCGTTTCGAATCACGTGAAAATGTCTTGGAAAATTCGTATTCGAACATGAGGTGAGTCAGGAAGATATACCTAGGCTGTTAATACATGTTACGCAAGTCTCATGCAAGAACTCCAGACAACCCTACCTCCATGTGTACAAGTACAATGTAATTAATTAATTAGCCTGACTTCGAATACGAATGAGTATGGTAAGCAGCCCCCGACTTCGGGAATTTCCCCGTAAAGTGGAGCTGCCCGTTCTTGCTTTTGTCAGCAGCCTAGCTTGAACCAACACCCCATTCTTTCTTCGAGGTACTTCTCCAACGTTGTATCTTTTCTTGCCTGTGCACAGAAAGGCATACTGGGACGAAGTCACTAAGAAAAATGCTGGATGGCCAATCCCAGGTGGTCCTAGAGGCGTCCCGCCCGGGGCACCTCTTACATTCCCTTGGATCGGCGCTTGATTCCCGGCGACAGCCTTTCTGCACAGATAGCGAGGGCTGGGGCCCTCTCAGCTCATCGAGATTCGATCTGACGCCATGCTTCCTTGACGTGATTGTGGCTGTAGTAGCTGTCTGGGGTACACTGAGCGGACTGGGTGCCTTGTGGTTGTTACTGAGGAAGCGGATTCCGCAGCCCGTATCGAAGAATTGGCACTTCTACACCAAGTTGGTTAGTACATGCCGGACACCCCCGCACACCTTCGCACATCCTTGGACGTCATTGATAATGTACTGACTACTGGTATTTTGGTCATAGACTGTTCTCGCCGCTCTCATCGTCGTTACCGCCCTTCAAGCGGCGATCCAAGTCGAATCAGACCCTAAAAGCTTCTGGGCCGATTTTCGCTTCTGGTCTTCCATCCTGACAATCATTTCGCTGGGGGTGATAACTTCAGTGCAATATTTGGAACATTGGCGGAGTAGACAGCCCAATGGTGTTGTCCTATTTTACTGGCTTTTCTTCATCATCGCCTACGCGGTCAAACTCCGGTCCCTGGTCGCGCGCAAGGAATATATCGGCCGACTTCCTTACTTTGTCTGTTTCAATATCAGCTTGGGACTAGCACTCTTTGAATTTGTGCTAGAATATTTCGTGCCCAAGAAGCAAAGCGCCTACGATGCGCTCGGAGACGAGGACGAGTGTCCCTACAATTATGCCGATGTTTTCTCGGTTCTCACCTTCAGTTGGATGACTCCGATGATGAAATATGGATACAAAAACTATTTGACCCAGGACGACCTCTGGAACCTCCGCAGACGCGATACCACCCGGGTCACGGGCAATGCCCTGCAGGAGGCGTGGGATGAACAGCTCGAAAAGACGAAGCCATCTCTGTGGACAGCGCTCTTCAAGGCTTTCGGTGCACCCTATGTGCGTGGTGCGATAATCAAATTCGGAAGCGATATCCTTGCATTTGTGCAACCGCAACTTCTACGACTTCTCATTGCCTTCATTCACTCGTATGGAAGCCCAGACCCGCAGCCTGTCATCAGGGGTGTTGCCATCGCCTTGTCAATGTTTGTTGTTTCTGTCTGCCAGACAAGCTTCCTCCATCAATATTTCCAGCGTGCCTTTGACACTGGCATGAGAGTCAAATCAGCCTTGACTGCTATGATTTATGCCAAGTCGCTGAAACTATCAAACGAAGGGCGCTCGGCAAAGACGACAGGTGATATTGTCAATCACATGGCAGTTGACCAGCAGCGCGTTGCAGATCTGACCCAGTTCGGCACTCAGCTAATCTCTGCGCCTTTCCAAATCACCCTGTGTATGCTCTCCCTTTACCAACTTCTTGGACCGAGCATGTTTGCTGGTATTGGAGTCATGATTTTCATGATTCCTTTGAACGGTGTCATTGCTCGAATGATGAAGAAGTTGCAGATCATCCAAATGAAGAACAAGGATTCGAGGACCCGATTGATGACTGAGATTCTGAACAATATCAAGAGCATCAAGCTCTACGCCTGGAACACGGCTTTCATGAACAAACTCAGCCATATCAGAAATGATCTCGAGCTGAACACGCTCCGCAAAATTGGCGCCACTCAATCCATTGCCAACTTCACCTGGCAGTCTACCCCTTTCCTCGTGTCCTGCTCCACATTCACTGTCTTTGTGTTGACGAATGATAAACCTTTGACTACTGAGATTGTGTTCCCTGCTTTGACGCTGTTCAATTTGCTCACATTCCCGCTTTCTATCTTGCCTATGGTGATTACAGCCGTTATTGAATCTTCCGTGGCGGTGAAGCGATTGATAGAATATCTAACCGCAGAGGAGCTGCAGACTGATGCTGTTGTCCTCCAAGATCCCGTGGCGCAGATCGGTGACGAGTCTGTCCGTGTCCGCGATGCCTCGTTCACTTGGAATCGTCATAGCGGGGAGACTGTGCTGGAAAACATCGATCTCAGTGCACGCAAAGGAGAGCTCAGCTGTATTGTTGGACGAGTTGGCGCTGGAAAATCTTCTCTCTTACAGTCGTTGCTGGGTGACCTGTGGAAGAACCAGGGAGAGGTGATTGTACGTGGTCGAATCGCGTATGTCGCCCAAGCGCCGTGGGTTATGAACGCCAGTGTCCGAGAGAACATTGTCTTTGGACACCGATGGGACCCATCATTCTATGATCTCACCGTTGAAGCATGTGCTTTACTCGACGACTTCAAGAACTTGCCCGATGGTGATCAGACCGAAGTCGGAGAACGTGGCATTTCCCTTTCAGGAGGACAAAAGGCACGGTTGACACTCGCCAGAGCTGTGTATGCTCGTGCCGATATTTATCTCTTGGACGACATTCTCTCTGCGGTCGATCAGCATGTTGGACGTCACATCATCAATAGAGTGCTCGGCAAAACTGGTCTCCTCAGTGGCAAGACCAGAATTCTTGCAACAAACGCAATCACTGTACTAAAGGAGGCTGACTTTATCGGCCTGCTGCGGGACAAGACCATCATCGAGAAAGGAACTTATGAACAACTGATGGCCATGAAGGGGGAGATTTCCAATCTCGTTCGCTCTACGACGGTTGACTCAGACGATGAAGGTACTGGGAGTGGCTCAGATGACCTTGCTAGCCCCGACAGCTCAGTCACAACCACCATCGTTCAGAACGGTGGTACATCGGACAGCGACGAGGCGGAACAACTTGGTGACCTTGTTCCCATCAAGGGAGGTGGTGGTGAGGCCCGTAGACGGACCAGTACCGTCACCTTGCGCCGTGCAAGCACTGTGAGCTGGCAAGGTCCCCGGCGCAAGCTGGGAGATGAGGAGAACGTCCTCAAGAGCAAGCAGACCCAAGAAGTCGCAGAGCAAGGCAAGGTGAAATGGGGTGTTTACGGTCAATACGCAAAGGATAGCAATATCGTGGCAGTTATTGTTTACTTGTTTGCCTTGGTGGCTTCTCAGACCGCTCAAGTGGTGGGCAACTTCTGGTTGAAGCACTGGACTGACTGGAACGAAGCCCATGGAAGCAATGCTAAGGTTGGAAAGTTCATTGGTGTCTACTTGGCGCTTGGCCTGGGATCATCTCTCTTGGTCATTGTGCAGAACTTGATCCTGTGGATTTTCTGCTCTATCGAAGCATCCCGAAAGCTTCACGAGCGGATGGCATTTGCTATCTTCCGCTCCCCCATGAGCTTCTTTGAAACCACACCATCTGGCCGCATCCTCAACCGTTTCTCTAGCGACATTTATCGAGTCGATGAGGTACTTGCTCGCACTTTCAATATGTTGTTCGCAAACTCTGCCCGTGCGGTGTTCACCATGATTGTCATTGCGTCAGCCACCCCGTACTTCTTGCTATTTGTCGTTCCTTTGGGTTATATCTACCTTAGCTACCAGAAGTACTACCTGAGTACCTCGCGGGAGTTGAAACGTCTGGACAGTGTCACTCGAAGCCCAATCTACGCTCACTTCCAGGAATCTCTGGGCGGCATCTCGACCATCCGTGCCTACCGACAGGAGAATCGATTCGCCCTTGAGAATGAATGGCGCATGGATGCTAACCTCCGGGCTTACTTCCCATCCATCAGTGCCAATCGCTGGCTTGCCGTTCGACTCGAGTTCATTGGTTCAATCATCATTCTTGCATCCGCGGGGCTTGCAATTATGGCCGTTGCGACTGGCGCTGATCTTTCACCGGGCACTGTTGGTTTGGCCATGTCATATGCTCTGCAGATTACGCAGTCTCTGAACTGGATTGTCCGCCAGACTGTCGAGGTTGAGACCAACATCGTGTCGGTTGAGCGGGTTCTCGAGTACGCTAATCTCCCGAGTGAGGCACCCGACGTGATCTTCAAACGTCGCCCTGCCATCGGCTGGCCGGCTCAAGGTGCCGTGGAGTTCAATAACTACAGCACCCGCTATCGCCCTGGGCTCGACCTTGTGCTCAAGGATGTTAGTCTCAATATCAAGCCTAAGGAGAAGATCGGTGTTGTTGGCCGAACAGGCGCCGGAAAGAGTTCGCTCACGCTGGCCCTCTTCCGGATTATCGAGGGTGTTGAAGGAAACATCAGGTAAGAACATACCACTATTACCTTTCGTTTTTCTTCTCTAAGCTAACAAACATTAAGTATTGATGGGCTCGATGTTTCTACAATCGGGTTGACTGATCTTCGTGGACGTCTTGCTATCATCCCTCAAGATCCCGCCATGTTCGAAGGCACTTTGCGCGACAACTTGGATCCTCGTCGTGTCCACGATGACACCGAGCTTTGGAGCGTTATAGGTTGGTTTAACTTAAATCCGTTTACCG